TAGAGAAAGAATGGGTGTGGACCAAGTAGGAATCTAGGAGGAAGAAGGCTGGATAAGAAAAGGGGCACATCTGTTAGAGAAAAGGACAGAAAGGCAGACAAAGCCCTGGAGAAGGAAGTAGGAGGAAAAGACCCTGGAGGAAAAAATCCTAGATGTGGCTGTGTGGGTAGGGGGAATCAAGATTGCCATGTAAGGAGATGGAGTAAAGTGAGGGAGGAGAAAAGGAGGATATGAGAGATGGGGAAGAGGTGGGCAGAGGGATTGCTACCCTGGCTGAGAGATAATATCGGAGATTTAACCTACCCTTAATAGATAGTCCTCTTTCCTGTCTCCCCTCTCACTCCATGCCTGGGAGGCGCAAGTTGCAGCCATGCAAGGGTACCCAATCAGACCCCTAGTAAGCAGCTGGTTGATTCCTGCCCCATTTTGACTTTCTTTGTCCGGGAGGGGCGCTCTCCAAGGGGAGAAGACAATGCGGCTTCCAATATCAAGAAAGGCGCGATACGGGGTGGGGGACGACGACGCGTGATTTAAAAAAAAAAAAAAACACGCGTGGATCTATCCATTTTCCTTCCTTTCCCCCTTTCGTGCGTCGCATCTCCTTCGTTCTGCTACGCCACCTCTTCCAATCTTCCCCATCTGACTTCGTGCAGAGAAAGTCGGAACGTTCAAAGAACGGCAAAAATAAAAGCACGTAGATCTTGTCCCCACCCCGGCACGACTCACCTTGACCGAAAGCTCGAAGGGACCGGGGGGCAGACTCCAGCCTTCCTCCATCCGAAGCATTTTAAGGCACTGCGCCCATCTCTCCGAGCTGCCCCACCCACCCTAGCCGCGGAGAACGAGAGGGGCCTCGACAACCCCGCAAGCTCCCTCCACCCCGCCGCGCCCCGTGTGCTTTTCCCCCGCCACTCTCGCAGCCACTCACCCTGCGGGCTGGGAGGCTCCCCCGGCTGCGTCTTGCCCAGAGCTGACCAGCAGGAGCCGACGAGCAGTGATAAGAGGATGGCGAAGCGCATCGCCACAGCCGGCGCCCGCAGCATTCTGGCCGCCCCCACCGGCTCCTGCTACCCGGCCATGGCGCGTTCAGAGAAGCCTCGGAGGCAACCGAGCTCCCTCTGCAGGATCCGGTTATGCGCCGGCGACAGCAGAGGCGGCGCTGCGATGCTGCCCCAGTCCGGCAGCCCCTCCTGCCCAGCAAGAAGATTGGGGGAGCTCGAACGGCTCCACCTACCGGGCGAACGAGCACCGCGATCGCCTCGCTCTTGCAGCCGCGGCTGCCGCCTACTTCTTCTCCAATGCTCCGCCCTTGCCTTACCTCACCTAGAAACTGTGATCAATACCGACCTGGGGTCCTGAGGCACGTAAGGAGGCGCATCTCCTATCAGCAACGCTTTAAAAATGTGTTTCTGAGCATGTGCAAAACATGGCTGCTGTTCCAATTAAGTTTTGTACAGACTAATGGTGAGCGAATGGGAAAAAGAAAGACACAGAAGCGAACAGTCATCCTCCTGAAACAATGAGCAATGAGCAACCTTTTACTCCTGTGAAATAATGTAGTAGACCATGATGTTTCCCGACTCAGGAATTATTCACAAGCAATTATATCCAAAACACTAGTCTGATGTAGTCTGTGTTTTCCATTCTGGGTCTCCCTGCATGGTTTTGGGGTGAAACAGTAGTTGGTAGGTTTCATATGCTCCTAGGGAGGGCGGGAGCTTGATTAAGGCCTGACTGGTTCCTCACCAATATAAGCGTGCCTTGGAATATTTCCCATAGTCTTGTCCAGAAAGGGAACAAGGAGTTGGATTCAAGCTGCAATCAACACATATTTGCAGGAGGAGGAGATGCCAAACCAACAACCTTAAAAGAGGGATCTCCTTGGATCTAACATCTGTAGACTGCCTTATCTCTATCAGCCCTATGGAAGATGATATAGAAGGTAGTAGGACACTGGGTTGTTTGGCAGTCAGAATTCAGGCTGGGTGCAGGATTGAAATCATATGGGTTGCTCTCACTGATGATTTGTGATGGGATCGTGTCATCCCAATGAGAGAGACCAGAGTAAGAAATCAACTCTATAGGAAGACTAAAACTACTTGGCTGTCACCAAAGTAACTTGCAAATATGATTATGTTGCAGTCTCCTCCTTTTTTATATTTCTGTGAATTAAGAAGGTGTCTTGAGTTACTACTGAAGGGTAAATTTATAATTGTACTTACAACTGCTGTAAAGAAGATGCCACTTCTTTGCCCCTTTTCTCTATTTTTTTTTTCTTCCTTCCTTGCACTTTTAGCTGTTTTTGATTTTTCTTTTTTCTTCCTCATTCCATATTAATTTGTAGTAGTTTTTATTTTTATTTTTAAAACTTTAAATACAATTATATTAAAATTATTTGTAATGTTTATAAACTACACAATTGTGGGGCAGAGAGTTTACAATAAGGAAATGAAGACAACTTTTTTTTAAATGAAATTTTGAAAAGGCAAAGATACTATTAGGGTGGAGAGTAGGAAATGAATTGAAATATGCTTTGCACTAATCTGGATTCTTGTTTTTAAAACAGCAATTATATGAAGAGATGATTAGGAATAAGACCACCTGGGCTAGAGAGAATAATTTAACCCTCCTGAGTAAAAATAACTATAGAAAGATTATTGTTGGCACTATGGAAAAAAGGGATTAAATTGCATCATCTCGATCTTTGTCATGCCAATCACCTTTCTGCAGCTTTTTGCCACTGTATTCTCATTAAGAGTTTAAATTTGATAAGACACTTTTAATATAATGGGTTGGTCCCAGATTTAATCATATAGTAAAGTGATCTATGGCACGCGTGCCAGAGGTGGCACACAGAGCCCTCTCTGTGGGCATGTGCACCATTGCGCCAGCTCTGTTTCAGGTCTTTGCCATCCATGCGCGTGTGCCTCCTGCTGACCAGCTAGTCTTCGGGTCTCTGCCCCATATGCCCGGGCCGTGGGCACGCATGCATCCATGCCTTACAGTTTGGGCAGGGCGCAGGTGCTTGTGCGGGGTGCAGGCGGATGCGTGGGGCGCACATGTATATGGACACGCGCCTTGCAGTTTGGGGGCACGCGCCCACTTTGGGCACTCAGTGCCTAAAAGATTCACCATCACTGATATAGTATTTAGGGCAAACCTATTGAAATAATCTTACTGGTTTCAGTGAGTTTTTATAGATCACAGTTTTTCAAACATGGAACTTCAGATGTGTAGACTTCAACTCCCAGAATTCCCAAGCCAGCATGCGGGGGAATTGAACTCCATAGATCCTTAAAGTGACAGGCTTAAAAAACATTTATCCAGATGCTATCATTTTTAATCCAGACTTGTAGCTTGCTGAGTGGGCAACATATCCTTGAGATGCTCCCTGATTCCCTAAAGGCCCTCTCAATACAGAGTATTGAGAGGGAAGGGACACTTCCCAACTTTGAATGCAATTATGCATTATACACAATCAGTATCCCAGCAGGCATGTTTTTAAATAATAAACCTTTCTGAATGAACAGATTGTTTTCTCTTGCCTATTGTGGCTGGATGGGTTTCTATACTACTATAACCAGCAATAGAGTTACTTTTGTTCCTGCAGCATCCCAAAAACTGTTTCCCTTGTAAGTATATATCAGGACAGTGGTGAAATCCAAATTTTTTTACTACCGGTTCTATGGGTGTGGCTTGGTGGGTGTGGTGTGGCTTGGTAGGCGTGGCAGGGGAAGGATACTGCAAAATCTCCATTCCCATCCCACTCCAGGGGAAGGATACTGCAAAATCCCCATTCCCTCCCCACTCCTGGGTGAAGGATATTGCAAAATCTCCATTCCCACCCCACTCTGGGGCCAGCCAGAGGTGGTATTTGCCAGTTCTCCGAACTGCTCAAAATTTCTGCTACCAGTTCTCCAGAACCTGCTGGATTTCACCCCTGTATCAGGAACATGGACAAAGAGTACTTATAGAGGAAATGAAAAAGGAAAGGTTATCAGTGGTCTATATTACTGCTCTTTTTCAGGCATTTCTCCCAAATCTGCTTTTCTTCTAAAAACTGCTAATTGCTGAAACCATGTCCTGTATTTCTGTGCAGTCAGTTGAAGGCTCTTAAGTGAGAAACTGCTGTATCAAAGCTTTTGTTAAGAGACTAAAAATCTTTCCCTGTTCAGACCAAATTCAGAGATTCTTCAAACTATCAATCTTCTGAACAACTTTGTACTTCTGAAGAACAAGTTCAGCTCCAGTTGGCTTTAAACAGCAACAATATACATTCTCCCTAACCCCCTCCTTCCCATTTCAAGGTGCTGGTGTCTTGAATATTAACAAACTTCAGCAGTCACGTGGCTTGCCTCTTACATGCTCTGAATAACAAAAAATGTTTTTTTCAAAAATCCCCCAGAAAAGAAGGGGGGGAGGGAGAGAGAGAGAGAGAGAGAGAGAAATCACTGCTAATTTGCATATAGTTTTCCCTTCAAAAGAAATCTTCCAGTTTCAATTAACTAATTGAGACAATGATGAAAATAAGATTTAGTCACAAATTAATAGCTCCCAACTGCTGTGCAAAGATGTACATGGTACTGACAGAAGGCAACAAACCATAACTTTTGAAAAAGAGTCTATATAACTTGCAGGTTTTTTTTTCAAAACATTATGGCTGTTGTTCTACAGTACCAAAATAGTTCTTCTTTAAAGAATCTAAATCATAGTTTTTGTTGATTGAACAGCAGGATATTTTATAAATCAGTAGAACATGTTTCATGCCTTGTGTAACCAGTTGTTGAGTTCAGCAGCCCCCAGAGAAACAAGACTCCTGAGGGAAAAGATTCAGTAGACTTCTCTTGTCTGCATCTTCAGCTTTGGAACAGACCCAAAATGACTTTAATCTCTATTGGACTAGATATTGCTGGGGTGATGTTTGTAATCCCAGAAGGCAACCCTAAGCATCAACACCACTCGACTTCCCCATGGACCACAAAGAATCAAAGAAGCCAATATTGTTAATGTAAAAAGTCTTAATGTTTACTCTTTTTAAAAAATATTGGGAAGGAATTGTATCTTGGAACTGATTGGTTGTGAATTAGTAATGGTTAATAGTTTCTCAGCCCACACATTTTATACAAAAGTGTTTATACCTTAATTATTAAGAAATATTGCAGTCTGGAACAGAGTTATATAATAAAGGAAAATGATATAAAAAGGAACAAAGTACACTATACAAAAATATTATTTAAAAGAGAATTAGAATTTTCTTAGTTGCAAGAATGTTGATGGAATATGGACAGTTTTCATATGCATTTAATACATTAGGCCGTTTTTAAATACTCACTCACTCTCCCTTTAATAAGCAAAATGTTTTCATTTAAGGTTGGGAAGGATTCTTTAAAGCAAGGGTGTCAAACCGGCAGCCAGTGGACTGCAGACGTCACATGCAGGCCACGCCCACCCCAGCTCTGCGAAGGGGGGTAACGTTGCAAAACGCATTATTATAAATGAGGTTTTGAATCTGCAATTGGTAACTCCACTTGGGTACAAAGAAAGCTTTGTAGCCAGGATCTGATTTTTGAAATCGAGCTGATGAAAATATTACTTGCCCATCTAGGAAGTGAGTAAAAATTATATTCTTTACAAATTGCCTGTTGAAAATATGAACAGGAAAGGAACGGATCCATTCAATAATGAGATTAGATATGGAAGGAATAGAATATCCTATTGCCCCTCTCCAGCTGACTGAACTCCAGGATCATGAGTTAGCTGCTCTTCATCTTCAGTGGGTGGTCGCTTTCTCTTGAAAAAGCCTGTCTATTGAAGAAAAAATAGTGGGGAAAATAGAGTGAGTAAGAAACAAGTCCCTTTAGGCAAGAAGTAGCTTCTCATAGGTTAGGTGTCAAACAGCCATTTGGACCCGTTTCCCACAGAAAAGAAAACACTGAGAAAGAAAGAAAACAAAACCCTTCCATTCCAGACTATTTCTTGATTGGCCACAAAACTAACCTATGAAGTTGAATTAAATGTTCTGTTTTCTTCTGAAACTTTTCTTGGATTTATCCATGGTTGGCCTACTGGAGGTTGAAAAGCTCAATAAATCGTGTGCCGTCGATGTCACACATTGGTGGTTGTGATGCACATTTTGAGTGAAAGGGAGCCGCAGCAGAGGGGTGAAAGAGCCACATGCAGCTCCAGAGCCGCAGGTTGCTGACGTCTGTCATAGGTGGATGCTTCTGAGATGGCTAAACTATACCATACAAAGCTATACATTTATTTAGCATATTAACTGAAGAGCCCAGAAACGAAGCTAGGGTACCTTCCAACTACTATCTCAGCAATCTCATAACTGCCAACTATTTATTCATTTTAAGGAACAGAAGGAAAATCATCTGTTTGATCCTTTGTTCAGACCCATCAAGGCAATTTCTATTCCAAAACTAGGTTGGAATTGGCAGTCAGAGGGGATAGTCCCAGGACAGGATCGTTTGTTACCATCCTTAATTTTACTTAGACATTGCTTTTTATTTTCTATTGTTTACAGATAAGCTTATGCAACCAGCAGAGATAAGAAATTTAATCAGCTATGTTCTCTAGATTACATGATGTATCCCTGGCTACCTTGCCTCCCAAAAACAGGCCCTGCTTGCTCTCTCCAGGACAGCTGCAAACATGAAGAGGAACATGCATTTGGATTTTTGCATCCTGTGCTTTATAGTCAGGCTTCCCTGCCCAAGGTTTCACGTACCTTCCAAAGAACAATAATGAAGACTGCAAGGAGGAAAAGTCCCACCAACACAGCTGTTAAGATCCACCATATAGGGATGTCTCTCTCGGCATCAGGATTCACCCATTCCACCAGCGTTTTAGCCTGTGTCCAACAGGAAAGAGATGGTAGAAAAAAAACCAGATGAATTAACAGGTTGATATTTTAGTGCAAAGTGGCAGAGATTTTGTAGCCAAGAAAAAATAATAAAATAGTGATTCTCATTCCCAACTCATACTTGCAAGACTGCTAAAAAATTGAACTGCACTTTATGTTTTGGAGGGGAAGATTTTGCTAAATTGTTATTAGTCACTCTGCCAATCATATCTTGGATTAGGAAAATAAAATATCATTTTGCCTCTACAAATAATCCATTTGCTTCCCCTTTGTAAGGCCAGGAAGTTCCAACAAGATGACTGAAACTTCAGAATAAAGGTGTTTCTGATATAGCAAATCCTATCAAATCTTCAAGTTTTAGAAAACATATTTGCCCAATTTAGATTAAGTGGGAAACAATGGCTAATCAGAGCCTTTGTGGTTTGAGATCATTAGCAGAAGGACAAAGGGCTGCATATGTGGATAAAGGGCCATTGATAATCTCAGTTTATTAACCAAAATACAGTCATCCATGTGAGCACAATATTATTTAATTCTCCAGGTGTCAGAAACTTTCCAGAACTATCCAGGAATGAATAAGGTAGTGCTCTAAATTTTTAAAATGGAAATAAAATGTTTCAGGGAAATATTCTATTAACTTTCATTCCATCTCTAGCACTTTCAGCATTCAAGTTACAATATACAGATTATTGGAGGTAGAGGGGAAGAAAGAAAATTCTCATACCAGGCAGGTTAATATTTAGCCCTGAATTTATTAAACTAATAAATGCTATGATTCAAAAAAAAATACTTTGTTTGATTTTCAGAGACAAAATTCAAAGCCTGTTGAACAAATGTTGATATTGATAGAAAACTTCACATTTGCTAATAGCGCTGATAATCCCGAAACATTGCGGTCTGGACTTACCAGGGCAGCCCCATTGGGTAGAACTTCTGGCTGAATGTTGTAAGGCATCCCTGTGGCAATGAACTGGGCCCGGGATTGGATAAGAAGCTGCTTTGGAAACTGTTGTGTAAGGAGGAAGTAGCATGGATATGGTTGTGTATTTCATTAATACATGGAATGGGAGAAGGCAGAAAGAGGTTAAACATTTGCTGCTTCCTGGAATATCTACTGGCTTGTCACCTACTCTAAAATCTAACACACCAATTGCAGTAGCCTAATGTGATATAAAACAACAGCAATCCATATACAATCCAATCCATCTAACAACAACAAACAATATATGATAGGTTAGGCTGCAAGATTCAAGATTAGTTACGGAATACCTTGATTGATTGGGGAGTTCTGCCTAATTCGCTTTTGGTCCTACTTCAGTCCTTTAATCACAACAATATTTTGCACTTACAACCCTCTATGTTCATCCACCAAGTACATCCTGTGCTATGATCGTTATTCTTTCAGCTCCACAGTCTTCATTGTTCAAAGGGCTTCTGTTTATTCATGCAACGACGCCACTCTTTCTCACTTGCTACTTCTTCTGCTTGAGTCTGCCTGCCTCTTTTTTATTATTATTTGCTTCAGATCCCTCCTCAGGGGCCTCTTTTCCTTAAAGCCTTGGGCACAGCTCTCTAGTTTCCATGGCCTCCTAACAGCATACATGTGGAACCCAAGCCATCCCATTGTTTCTCCATTTACCCAGCTGCCTCTTCTTTTTCTGTTGATCCTGCACTGAATGTTCCATTTCAGTTCTATGAGACAAGTACCTGTCCTTTTGGATGCCATGATGTTTCAGCATTCTGATAATGTATTGAGTAAACAGTCTATATAATTTCAATGCAACATTCCTGTTGCCCCTTGGTAAACTAGTGGGACACCTCATCTTTCTTAGCAAGGCTTTGATTTAGCAGAACAGATCTTTCAAGGAGAGATAAAAAAACTGGACTATACCTATTAAAATACAATCTCTTACCTCCTGGAAACTTGGCAGCCACAGTACTGAATGAATAGTCACCATAGCTCCATGGCCCCTCTCCAATGTTCCCACTTGGCAGTGAATGACAGCACACAGTTGGCTGCTACAATTCTGAAGACAGAAAGGATTAAATGTTTTAAAATCAACTAAAGTTTTTTTGAAAACATGATGAAATGTAGGATATATATCTGATCAAGAATGCAGTTTACACTCTTAAGTGTACCATCCAAGCTGGGTGCTATAGAATATGACAAAATTTTGGCTGTGTCAGCATGTCTCTGCTGGCAAATGTTAATCATCATGCCCAACTTTTATGATTTTCAAAAATCCAGACATTCTCGTCTTATAAATTTCCCTTTCATTCCTGCTGCTTTCCCCATATTTCCCCCCCACACACGCACACAAAAAAGATCCTTGCAATGGTGGTCCTTTTCATCCACAATAATAGAAAGTACTGGAAAAACTCCTATTTATATAAGTGATGTGGGACTATAGCAACTTCTAACTAGGGCAGAATGACACTCTTTAACTTGTAATAGGAAGGAGAGGCTGCAAAATAAAAAAAGACTTCTGTGTTCCCCCACAGGAGAGTCCTTTCCTTAACTTATTTTGCTGCACTGGCAGAAGAGCCAGTATGATGGTGGGAGGAAGGGAGGAAGGAATAATGAAAACACATCAAACCACTGAAGCGGAATTGAACTGAACCAAGGCAAGCAACAGCCCTTCCAGACATGAACAGCTGACAAGTAAATGCCAGCTGTGGGACAGCTGATACTTTCTACTACTGTGGACCAAAAGTCATTGCAATAGACTTTTTTTGTGCATGTGTAAAAAGTGCAGTAACACAACAATCATAATAATGCCACTGGTGCTGCAGTTGGCTCTTGCAACCTGGCATCAGTGATGGAAAATAAAAAGGGCAAGGGCATCTGCAAGATAAGTTAAAATGACCAAGGAGGGGATGTGACCATGTAATTGAAGTACTGGTACCTTCTCTTTCTAACATGCATCATACGATTTTATCCTACTTTTTGCACTAGGTCATGAATGAACAGAAATCAAAGATCTCTTCACACACTCCCTACCTATAGTACGCCCTGCAGTAGATGTAAAAGATGTAAAAGAAAGCAAGCAATGCATTAAAAAGTTACAAGAGCCTTTCATAGGCATGTGAGGATGTGACTGCAAACTTGCAATTCAAATCTTCTCTGAACAGCACAACAGCTGGGGAAGAAAATTATGAATCAGGAAAATCAGGACACCAAAAGATGATTCTAAATCAGGAAAACTGGGACATTGGAAACTCCATGGAGGACAAGAGAGAAAAAAATGATTGCAGATGATGAATTTGCACATATAGAAACATGATAGCATAGAGGAGAAGGTGTTATGGTGAGAAATAATTGCAGTAGTAAACTAAACACTCCCTTTGGTAACAGAAGTGTGACTGAACAGCTACCATGCAGTAATATTTTGGATTTCAATGGTAACAATTTCTTTCTTTGGGAGAATTATAGAAAGGGGAAGTAGATGTGGATTAGAGATGGGATAGCTTTTGTATCACAGAACCTGCAAGTTTGTTTAAGTAACCAAGAAGAGCTGGAAAGCCTCTCGGCTTCCAAGTCTTTTTAAGAACAAGTCCCCACCTTAATATTTCAAACTGAAATAGTATGCAGTTATGCTTAATATTTATGGAACTGTAATATATAGAATACTTACGTCATTTACTTTCAGAACAACACTGCAAGATATGTAACTCTCAAGTTTACAGACTGGGTCAGTGAGTATCTCATTTATGAAGAGCAAAGAAATGGGACTCAGGTCCAGTGTGAATTGCTTTGGATTACCCTATGAAATTTAAACCATAAAGAACCCTGAGGCAATCTCTAAGCATCTCCCCCTCCCTTCAAAGACTCACCACTTCAATATGTTCCTTAAATGTTGAAAAGCTGACATCACGCCTCTCACGCCAATGCCAATTGCTGGGGGCAATTGTGGGCTTCTGGACATTTAGCTATGATGAAAAAGAAACACTCAATTATGATTTACTTCTCTCTCCTTGCTTCCTTACTGCATGTCTGCTTTTATGATAAACAAAATATTAAGGGCTTCCTCAATGGACAGATGGTATGTTTATTATTACGGAGATAAATTCTTTGTGGCACAGTGCTCTTCCATGCTGAATTTGAAAATTTGAATTTGAAAATATATTATAATAGAAAAATAGCTAGAAAAATATATTATAATAGAAAATATATTATTATAGAAAAATAGTTAGCTTTCCTTACTAATGGTTGTTCAATGTACTGTACATACAATATGCTAAACCACAAATTATTGTATACCACAGTGATTGGGTTGACACAGCACATGCAATCAAAATCCAACATGCCCCATTATGCTTAGTTCAGGGTAAAAAGTGATACCATAATGGATAATTTTGATACAAATATTAGTCAGCTGTTTCAGATAATCATTAGTCCTATGTAAGGAAGCATAATCCTTATCTTTCCTGAGTAGCTTTAATACCATACATAAAATGGTATTTAATTATTATATAAAAAATATAAAATATATCCAAAATTAGAACAAATCAAGCGAGGATATAGTATGATCATCACAGCCTTAAGTTCCTTTTCTTCATTCTCTGACTCAGATTCTGGTTGCATACACATATGCAATCATCTGGAACTTTTGAAGCCAAAATTTGCAGACTGTCAAGGGAAGAGCCATTTGTAGATTCTGAATGTTGGTAATTTCTCCAGAACCCCTCCGTTTCTTCCAATCAGATTGCGGCATAAAAAATTCCTGATAGCAAGCAGATTATGCCATTGGTCAATCCCATTAAATTAAAAATACTCTGACTGATTCACTCTACTCTTGATGTGTGCTTGATGACAAATGTCTTTTCATTATCAGCTTCTTGAATCCTTAACCTGAATGTGCCATGGATTAATTCATGAATGCAAATGAGATGTTCTAGCATTGTGTAATAAATCTTTCTGTTTCCTGTTGTTCCTCCAGATAGTCCTACCTTTAGAGGGTTGGTCTCATTTGTAGATAAACAAACGATGTTGCCTTCTGTGCTCACTCTTGTGATGTAAAGCAAGGACCCTTTCCAGAAGTGACTGGGGAAATACACAAGCAGATCAGCTCCAGATACTGTGCTAGGGCCTGCATTCTGCAACTAGAGAATGGTGGTGGGAGGTAGGCAGACATGGAGAAAGAGAAAGAAAAAAGATTGTAATAGGAAAAAATATCAATATTGGGCTAAAACGTCATATTTCCAATTCATGTATCTTTCTTGATACCCGATAGATATGCTCTATTTTTGGTCCATAGTCATCAACATCATTGCTCTTGTTCTTAAAGTTCTCAATTGTCCATGGGAGCACAGTTGTAGCTGGTATAGAGATTCTAGAACCAAAGAGTGCAAAATACAAGAATTAAAATTATCATCCCAACGGATTAAAAAAATAATCTGCACTCACAAAAAAATAGTATTCTAATGGAAGAGGTTGAGCAAAATGGCTTATACTCACCCAAACAGCTCTACCTGTGCATCAACCTTGAGTGGCACCTGCAACCATTCTATATTGCTGTTGGGTTTCTGGCTATTCTTACTGCAGAAGAAATTTGAAGTTATGATGAAGATGTCAGAAAGGTTCTCACCTTTGAGGCATCCCCAAGATTTCTTTACTGTATTAGAACTGTAGTTGATTCAAATCAACTTGAATAAGGGACGGAAAAGTGTTGTGATAGGAAAGCTATCTACAGAAAATGGTTTTGTGAGTGGGCAGATGGGAGAACAATTGGCAATATAGAAGGATTCAAGATGTAGACCAGTTTCACAAAACAAACAAGATATTGAAAAAAGGGCATTAAAACACTAACACATATGCGTGCCTGGAGGCCGTACGGATCTGGATGGGGAGAAACAGGCTCAGACTCAACCCATCCAAGACCGAGTGGCTGTGGTTTCCGACGTCCCGATATAGTCAGCTGGTGCCATCGCTGACTATTGGGGGCGAAGCATTGGCCCCCACAGAGAGGGCTCGCAACTTGGGTGTCCTCCTGGATTCACAGCTGTCTTTAGAAGAGCACTTGACGGCCGTGACCAGGAGGATTTTTCATCAGGTTCGCCTGATCCACCAGTTGCGTCCCTTTCTGGATCGGGACTCATTACGCACGGTCACTCATGCCCTCGTCACCTCCCGTCTGGACTATTGTAACACTCTCTACATGGGGCTCCCCTTGAGGAGCACTCGGAGGCTCCAACTGGCGCAGAGTGCGGCCGCGCGGGTGGTGATGGGAGCGACGTGGCGCTCCCATGTAACGCCTCTCCTGTGCGAGCTGCACTGGCTCCCGGTGGTCTTCCGAGTGCGCTTCAAGGTTTTGGTCATCACCTTCAGAGCGCTCCATGGCTTAGGACCTGGTTATTTACGGGACCGCCTGCTACCACCAATAGCCTCCCACCGACCAGTACGCTCCCATAGAGAGGGGCTCCTCCGGGTGCCGTCGGCCAAACAATGTCGACTGGCGGCCCCCAGGGGGAGAGCCTTCTCTGTGGGGGCACCTACTATCTGGAACGAGCTCCCCCCAGAGATACGGAGGATTCCGGATCTGCGTACCTTCCGTCGCACGCTTAAGACGTTCCTATTCCAGCAAGCCGGCCTGACCTAAATTTTTCCTCTTTTAAATGGGAATTTTAAATTTGGTTTAAATTATTGGGGTTTTAAAATGGTTCAGCCAAATTTATTTAATTTGTTTTATCTCTATTTTAAATTTTGTTTTTATATGTTTTATTTTATGGCTGTTCACCGCCCTGAGTCCTTCGGGAGTAGGGCAGTATACAAATTTAATAAAATGAAAAATGAAAATGAAACATATACACATATCTCCTCCAATGGAATACTGATAAATATATTACAACAATATTAGTTTCCTATCCCTTGCAAAACAGGCTACCCAAATTTTTAAACTACTAATCCTTTTGCAAATTATTAACCTATCGTCTATCTATTATATTAATGACAAAATAATTAACAGGAAGAACAATAATAAAAAAAGCAAGATTAAAATTTTAAAGCCCTCTGTTAACAAACTGGTATTGTAATCAACTTGTAGAAAGTTTATCATGGTTTCTTATCTATCCTAAATCATTCCACAGTTAACACTAATTCATCCTGGATCAAATGTCCATGTATGTTTTTAATATCATCTCATAACAATTGTTGTCTAGTTAAATATAATAAGGTCGTTCTCCAAAGTCGATTTATCTTCCCAAAGAGCCCAAATGAAATTGTTTTCCATTTAAGCATTACAAATTCATTCGGTTTTCTGCTGTTGTAAAGGAATGCAGGCTTGAACTTCCAAAAGACATAACCAATCCACACAGTTAGTTAAAAGTCTGTAAGATCCATATTTCTTTCAATCTTCTTCACAAAATCTGCCACTTTTAAATAAAATTCTTTTTGTGAATCTGATTTGTCTAAAGTTACTTGCATCTAAATAGCTTTCATAACCATTATCATTTCATCAAACTTCTTAAAACTTTCAACTCGGGCTTGTACATTATCAAACAGTCTTTTTTCAGCTGCCAGACATATTTGCCTGTCTGTAATTTGATACATTGTTGCTCTGTTTAATTTAGGAAGAATAGATAAGAGAACAAAGGAAATAGAAAATGTTGAAGTAATATTCTTCAGAGTGAAAAAGTAAATAGCAACAACATTTATACTGATATACTGCTTCATAGTGCTTTACAGCAGTTTTATAACCTCTCTAAGCAGTTTACACAGTCATCATATTGGCCCCCAACAATTTGGGTCCTCAAAGGAAGGATGGAAGGATGGAAGGTTGAGTCAACCTTGAGCCTGATGAGATTCGAACTGCCAAAGAGGAGGCAACCAGCAAAAGTAGCCTGCAGTACTACATTCTAACCACTGTGCCACCATAGCTCATAAAGAAGCAGGGAAGATATTTTCTAGATATTTCAATCCAAAATTTATTTTTTTTAAAAAGAAAAGCTCAACTTTTTGCAAATTAATAAAATGCAAAATACCTGAGGTGAGTGTCCAATATAGATGTAAATTAAATGAAAACACTTTCGCTACCCAGGGATACAGTGTGATTTTCTTATGGAAAAGCAAAAATTATTTGGAACTCAACAGTAAAAGGGGGGGGGGGGGAAACCCAGATAAAGTCCAGCAGGGAATTAAAATAGATCAGCATTCAACCACCTAGTCAACTTTTAAAAATAAAAAAACAAAGTGAAACAGAAGCTTCAAAAAGTGAAGTTAAAACCCAGGCACACTTAAGAAAATGAGCTGACAAGAGGAAAGATGGATGACTGCTGACTTCCTGATTGTTCCAACAGTGGAACCACTACCACATAGAACTGCAATCTTTAAGATTCCTCTTCCCATGAGGATTCATGGCTGTCCAAAAGCCATCTTGGGCCATTCCTAAATGCTCCCATTCAAATCTAGGGAGCAGTATTGCCAAAGAACCAACTTTGGCAGCAAAATCAGTATATTGTCAACAGAAAAAAGAAAAGTACCTACCATTCATCAGCTATGTTGAGGAAGGAGTATCAGTATTTAGATAGGGAGGATAATGTGTGTATATGGGTTCATGTATGCACATGAATTCAATGCACTTTTTTCAATGTCTTGTTTGTTTTGTGTATTATTTTGTTTGCTTGTTTCTGTAAAAATTTTTGGAATTTGTATTTTAACTTTTTTTTAATGAAACAAAAAAAAAGATAAAAAAGATATAGGGCAGTTTCTCTGGGTTTTGATCAGAGAGTGCTGAAGGACACTGGTACAATAGCAATTCCAGTCTAGCACCACCAAATCTGCCTGGATTATAATTTTCATGGAAATGTGTTGCATGATAATGGCTTGGAATTCAGAAGTTGTAGTTCATTTGGGAAGCTTCAGTTTAAAGGCAGAAATTGGTTTCAGAGAGTAAGCCAGTGAAACATGGCTGAGTGTTACCTCTTGAGTTGTAGCACGAAGGCAATGCTACTATTGGCATCTTCTAACTGGCTGATACTTAGTTCCAAATCCATTTTGATCTGTAAATAATAAGGGGCAAGAAGAAAGGTGAGAATGACCACATTAAAATCAAGGTATCGAGGAGAGTTTAAGACAAATAGGTTAAGAAAAAAACAATGGTTTGCTTTGTGCTACGATTTCTCAATAATTTACCTATGTTCCAGTAGATGCTAGACTATGGATTTATTTGTGGTATAATATGAATCAGATAAGACATGTCATAATAATTCTGCCTTTTTATGTGTTAATCAAAAGATGTCCCGGTGCCTGGAGGCCGTACGGATCTGGATGGGGAGAAACAGGCTCAGACTCAACCCATCCAAGACTGAGTGGCTGTGGTTTCCGACGTCCCGATATAGTCAGCTGGCGCCATCGCTGACTATTGGGGGCGAAGCATTGGCCCCCACGGAGAGGGTTCGCAACTTGGGTGTCCTCCTGGATTCACAGCTGTCTTTAGAAGAGCACTTGACGGCCGTGACCGGGAGGATTTTTTATCAGGTCCGCCTGATTCGCCAGTTGCGTCCCTTTCTGGATCGGGACTCGTTACGCACGGTCACTCATGCCCTCGTCACCTCCCGTCTGGACTATTGTAACGCTCTCTACATGGGGCTCCCCTTGAGGAGCACTCGGAGGCTCCAGCTGGCACAGAGTGCGGCCGCGCGGGTGGTGATGGGAGCAACGTGGCGCTCCCATGTAACGCCTCTCCTGTGCGAGCTGCACTGGCTCCCGGTGGTCTTCCGAGTGCGCTTCAAGGTCTTGGTTATCACCTTTAAAGCGCTCCATGGCTTAGGACCTGGCTATTTACGGGACCGCCTGCTGCCACCAATAGCCTCCCACCGGCCAGTACGCTCCCATAGAGAGGGGCTCCTCCGGGTGCCGTCAGCCAAACAATGTCGACTGGCGGCCCCCAGGGGAAGAGCCTTCTCTGTGGGGGCACCTATGATCTGGAACGAGCTCCCCCCGGAGATACGGAGGATTCCGGATCTGCGTACCTTCCGTCGCACGCTTAAGACGTTTTTATTCCATCAAGCTGGCCTGACCTAAACTTTTCCTCTTTTAAATGGAATTTTAAATTTGGTTTTAATTTATTGGGGTTTTAAAATGTCTCAGCCAAATCTATTTAATTAGTTTTATCTCTATTTTAAATTTTGTATCTACATGTTTTATTTTATGGCTGTTCACCGCCCTGAGTCCTTCGGGAGTAGGGCGGTATACAAATTTAATAAAATAAATAAAAATAAATAAAATAAATAAAAGATATTAGTAACAATTCTGTTCTGTTTATATGAAAATAAATAAATAAAAGTGTCATGCATTGGTGGAAAAAGCATTGGTTTTGAATAGAATCTATTTGATTCTATTTGCCAAGTTAAAGGAACTGTAGTATATTTTTGTCTATTACATGGAGAAAAACATTTTTTTCATTCCTTTCTAGATTTTTGCTACTTTTTCAGACTTCAGAGCAAACTTGAAAACAAGTCCATTTTAGAAATTAATCCCCTACCTCTGTGTGGGATTTCATTGGGTTGCCCACTTCACAAGACACCAATTGGGTTTCATTCGTCTTGCGGAAATTACAGATCAGTTTCTGCAGGCAAAAGGGATGGAGTGTATGTTCAGGTATACTTAACCTTGGAAGACTGAATCAGCACTATGACAAAATGAATGGAAGAATTTTCATACTATTGCTACTCAACTGGAAAGGTTGTTTCTAGGACATCAGAACCCCCTTTTGAAGCAAAATTAAATTTGTTATATATGGTAGATTTTCTCATCCATTTTAGCACAAAACAAATCAGAATCAAAGAAAGATTGTTAAATCTCAGAAAAGCTTGTAATGCATCTATGTGGGCTTTCCAGTTGCAAAAAAAAATAAAAAATCCTAGATGGCTTTGAATTAGGACACTTGCAACAATAGCAGTATAACTGAAAGACACTTGAAGAGTATAAGAGTATACCTACAATCTAGAGCAGGGGTCAGCAACCTTAAACCCTGAAAGAGCCACAAAAGTCCTAACAGGAAGCCCCCCGTTCAATTCTGGAGCCGACCGGAAGTCCAGTTCCCCCACCATAGAGACTCCTCCTAGTGTGGTGTCTTTTTTCCTCTACTTGTCCTAACCAAAAGCCTTATCAATTGTTGAGCCAACCAGAAAACCCGCCCCTTGCCATAGAGTCTCCTCCTGGGATGCCATGCTTTCCCCCTTAAATGGAAGCTCCTCTCCAAATTGTGGCTCCGACCAGCGACAGGGAGCCACAGCAGAGGGATAAAAGAGCGACATGCAGCTTTAGAGCTGCAGGTTGCTGACCCCTGATCTAGAGCCTGAGCACTGTTATATGGCAGAGTTCTTTAATATGCAGCAATTGATTTTAGACACTCTCAATCAAATGTACTGCATATAATTTAACATATCCAAATGTATTTATTGTTATTTATTTATATTTTCTATTTCTTAACCATCCATCTCCTTCAGAGAGGAGGGTTGATCCAAAGGTTGATCAAGTTTGGTAAATCTGAGCTTTCAGCCAACTCAGGGTTGACCTGTGATCACAAGATGCAAGAAAATATAAATATTTTTAGGAAATAATGTTTAAAACACACTTTTAAGAATGGAATAAACAAGGTGAAAAATTTGTTTTTCTTGGCTCAATTCCATAAGAGACATAAAAGACTACAAGATTGCATTTTTTGGATCAACATTTAGCCACAGTGACAAAACCTTTTATCCATGGTGGGTAAATTGGCCTTCAGATATTCCTGAAGTGCAATTCATAGCAACTTTAGCCAAAATGCCATTTAGTGACTAATGCTGGAAGCTAAAATTCAACAATTGTATCTGACCTCACCTGTGTGCTGCTGTTAGCTCTTTGGAAGTAAGCCCCAAATGGCAGCTCCGCTACTAACTCAGTTTCATAGGCTCCTTCTCCAGCATTTGTTGCTGTAATCTGAATGAGAACCACATTCTCAGCTCCAATAAGTAGGAAAGCTTCATTCCTGAGACATAACAACATAGAAAGGAAAGAATACTAAATAATGGCTGCATTATTCTTTTTGCATCAGGAATTAGAATATTGCAATTGGCGGGACAAAATTGTTGATTGAGGTTTGAATATGCAGCAAGGTCAACTGGAAGACCGGGTGGAAGTTGAAACATTTTGCTGGATTAGAAAGGACATATTTCTCCTTCCCACTCATTGATATTTGACTGCCTTTCTTTATTCATTTAAGAAAATGAATGGCATATGATTCTTGAACTGTCTAAAGGAAAAGGAAGATATAAAATTCAGCATCATTTTTTGCATAAGTCTACTTTGTACTAAAGATCTGACTGTCTCACCCAGATTGTTAAGAATTATATGAATACTAATGTAGATTTCTGCAGAAATATTTGGTAAATCTGAGCTTCCAGCCAACTCAATCATCAGAAAATATTTTTCTTGCAATGTCTTAACAGTGTTAATTGAAACTATAAGTATCATATTCACTGACAAATTTCTGGTATTGCACAAAATTTGAGGGCACCTTAATGTTATGGTCATTTTACTTCTTTTGAAGTAATGTTATACAATATGATTACAGATTGGGAAAACGTTGGTTTTTAAAGATACTCATAATGTACTTTGAATTTAGTACCTTGAATTTAACATATCCAAATGTATTTATTGTTATTTATTTATATTTTCTATTTCTTAACCATCCATTTCTTAACTTTGAATTTAGTATGTTCCAAACAAAGATGATTTTTTGTGCACTAGGAATAGGAAAAATGGAATTAGCAGAAGGAAAAATGCTATATTTGTGGTATCATAATACTTATGAGATGGAAAAATGATATAATCCTAGATATCATGAATTGGATTCCACTGATGTGTGATTTAGCAATTTTTGAGAAAATTATATAATCTGTCAACTGGAAATTGGACAGGTTAGGGTGAAAGCTTAGTGTCTCCTTTTAAAGACCTCAGATGAACTTGGAATATATTTTTAATTACAACTATGGTTTCTTGTTTCTATGTTTTCTTTTGTTGTGGCCTCGAGGGAGGCCACTGTTCCTCAGATAGCCGGATGTGAGTCCCTCCTTGTGAAGTGGGGTCATGGGGTTCAGATGGACCTGCTGACTGTGTACCTGGCTCCCTGCCACATAGCAGCGGCCCTGCTCGAGCTGCTCGATGTGATAGCCGGGGTGGCGGTGGATACCCCAGACTTATGGTCATGGGGGATTTAACCTGCCGTCCGTCGGCGAGACATTGGAAGTGGCTTGGGAGTTCATGGCTTCCATACGGCTATGGACCTGACCCAGGTAGTTCATGACCCGATGCACACAGGGGGACACACTCTGGACCTGATTTTTGTCTCAGGTCAGTGGCTGAATGATCTAGATATAGGGGATGTAGTCATCGAACTCTTGTCATGGTCTGATCATTCGCTCCTCCGACTGGATTTCTGTACTACTGCCCCCCGCCGCAGGGAGGTGGAACCGGTTAGGTGGTTCAACCCCAGGCTCCTGATGGATCCGGATGGATTCCAGAGGGAGCTTGGGCCATTTCCTGAGGTTCTGGCTCATGATTCGACCAAGGACCTGGTGGCCGCCTGGGATAGGGCGGCCACCGGAGCCTTGGATCACATCGTGCCTTTGCAGCCTCTGACCCGGTGCCAATCCCATGTGGCTCCCTGGTTCTCCAAGGAGCTTAGGGAAATGAAGCGCCAGAAAAGACACCTAGAGAGCAGTTGGAGGGCCAGCCAATCCGAATCCGACCAGACACTGGTGAGGTCTCATATTAAGACCTACCTAGTGATGATAAAAGCGGCAAAATATGAGTATTTCTCCGCTCTTATCGCGTCATCAGATAATCGCCCAGCCACTCTGTTTAGGGTGACCCGCTTCCTACTCCATCAGGGAGCGAGGGATGATCCCTTACACGGAAGAGCTGAGGACTTTGTGCAATATCTGTATGACAAAATCGCTCAGATTCGGGAAGGATTGGACTCTGACTGGGTAGTTTCAGTCGGGGTGACGGAGGTGCGCCTTGAGAATGTTATTTGGGAGGAGTTTGACCCTGTGGCTCCCAAGGACGTGGACAGGATTCTGGGCAGGCTTAGTGCGGCCACATGTTTACTGGACCCGTGTCCCTCCTGGTTGGTACTGGCCTCCCGGGAGGTTACACGAGGCTGGCTCCAGGGGATTATCAATGCATCTTTGAGTGAGGATAACTTCCCCGCCACCTTGAAGGAGGCGGTGGTGAGGCCCCTCCTTAAGAAGCCTTCCCTGGACCAGGCTGTATTAGCAAATTATCGTCCTGTCTCCAACCTTCGCTTTGTGGCGAAGGTTGTTGAGAGTGTGGTGGCGTGACAGTTTCCCCGATTCCTGGAGGAAACGGTTTATCTAGATCTGTTCCAGTCGGGTTTCAGGCCTGGGCACAGCATGGAAACAGCATTCGTCATGTTGGTGGATGATCTCTGGAGGGCTCAGGACAGGGATTGTTCCTCTGTCCTGGTCCTATTAGATCTCTCGGCGGCTTTTGATACCATCGACCATGGTATCATGCTGCACCAACTGGAGGGGGTGGGGAAAGGGGGCACCGTGTTGCGGTGGTTCTCCTCCTTCCTCTCCAACCGGTCGCAGTTCGTGTTGACAAGGGGACAGAGATCGACATCGAGGCGCCTTGTGTGTGGGTTGCTGCAAGGGTCGGTTCTCTTGCCCCTTCTGTTCAATATTTATGTGAAGCCGCTGGGTGAGATCATCCGTGGTTTCAGGGTGAAGTGTCATCTGTACGCTGATGATACTCAACTGTACATCTCCAGCCCGGACCACCCCAACGATGCCCTTGATGTGATGTCCTGGTGCCTGGAGGCCGTGCGGATCTGGATGGGGAAAAACAGGCTCAGGCTCAACCCGTCCAAGACCGAGCGGCTGTGGCTTTCGGCATCCCGATATAGTCAATTGGTACCATCGCTGACTTTTGGGGGTGAGTTGTTGGCCCCCACAGAGAGGGCTCGCAACTTGGGTGTCCTCCTGGATACACGGCTGTCTTTGGAAGAGCATATGATGGCTGTGGCCAGGGGAGCTTTTTATCAGGTTCGCCTGATCCACCAGTTGCATCCCTTTTTGGATCGGGATGCCTTACGCACGGTCACTCATGCCCTCGTCACGTCCCGCTTGGACTACTGTAATGCTCTCTACATGGGGCTCCCCTTGAGGAACACCCGGAGGCTCCAACTGGTCCAGAATGCGGCCGCGCAGGTGGTGATGGGGGCGACTCGGCGCTCCCATGTAACACCTCTCCTGTGCGAGCTGCACTGGCTTACAGTGGTCTTCCAGGTGCGCTTCAAGGTATTGGTTACCACCTTTAGAGCGCTTAGGGCCCGGGTATTTACGAGACCGGCTTCTGCCACCAGTAGCCTCCCACCAACCAGTACACTCCCACAGAGAGGGGCTCCTCAGGGTTCCGTCGGCCAAACAATGTCGGCTGGTGGCCCCCAGGGGGAGAGCCTTCTCTGTGGGGGCACTGACCCTCTGAAACGAGTTGCCCCCGGAGATACGGCGGATCCCGGATCTGCGCATTTTCCGCTATGACTTAAAGACGTTTTTGTTTCATCAAGCAGGGCTGACCTGACCATATTTTTTAAGTTGCTTTAATTTTAAATTGCTAAATTATGGGTTTTTAATATGGGGGTGTTTTAACTGTGGGCCAAATTAATTTAATTGGTTTTTAAATATTTTTTTTATTTTTGTATTTTCTGTATTTTATCTGCTGGCTGTTTACCGCCCCGAGTCCTTCGGAGAAGGGCGGTATACAAAATAAATAAATAAATAAATAAATAATAATAATAATAATAATAATAATAATAATAATAATAATAATTTTCATTGCTTGGGGTGAATTGTTCATTTTATATTATATATACTTATTTAAAAATGGACCAATAAAATTATTTTTAAGTATCATAATAAAAAAAATTAGTGATGGTGACCTTTGTCCTTCTCATAAACTAGGTCACTTCTGCAATTTGATGACATGGTTTACTACTGGGGATTTATGGAAATCCTACAAAAGATGGCTGCCTAGAATTGCTTTCTGTGAAATTGGCAGCCATGTTTAATAAAATAAATAATAAAAGACATAGAAAAATTACAAACATTATCAGCATATTACTATGCTTTTTTTCCTCACCCCTCAGCAATAATGGCCAACTCAGTCTAAACTATTGGTGCTTACGTGTGAGCAGAGAGTTTGAGATCTGGAATGCAGATGTTGTCTTCTCCACAATCTAGAATGATGCGGGTCTGTGGATAAGAGGAAACCTAAACAGCTATCACTGAATGAATAGCAAATACAATTTGGAGGAGAACATGGACTGCTACATACACAATCCATGCTATTCTTTGTGATTCCTAGCTAAGAAATACGTAAGAAAACCCCTTCAATCTGGAGATATGAAGATATCAGATATGAAGTAGAAAATTCAAACATGCAGAACCTCTCACTAAGTCCAGTTAACTATCTACTGTACATACACTACCGCTGCAATTGCCCATCTCTTTAATGAGATAATTTCATGATAAATAAGTAAATGAAGCCAGACAAAAACTAGATCTAATTTAGATTAATCTCCTTTTCAACTGAATTAACATTATATTTGTGTTTACAATTAATATAACTAGGTCCCTTCTATTCAATCGTTTTCCCCTTCTTTCACATTAAAAAATATAATTTGGTGGCAACTTTTGGAGGCGCTCTGGAAGTTGCATTTAAATCCACCAGGGCCTTCAGTCTGCAAACCTTTTATGTACAAAACCTATTTTCTTTCCACATGACATACATAATCTCTAATTAAAAGCTGGTATCCAAGATCATAAAGGACTGCTCCAATCTCTCTATAAACAGGGACTAGCTAAATAATTCAAATTTATATTCGTAATAACAGCATCAAAATTCTCATGGCACCTTAAGACTCAACAGTGTATTATTGTCTATGATCTACAATTTGTGATGTGTGGAATGTAGTTCTGAAGAGGAATATTCTATCTACTCAGACTTGTTCTTGGGCATGCATTGCATAGGCTACGTTTCCCAAAGCCACCTCTTTGGAAATACTTATTTTAGAGATAAACTTATTTAGAGCTCAACAAGCATTCAGACAAGGAAACAAACAAGCAAACCACTTATCAAAATAATAACTACGATATCATATTGAAAACCAAATTCATAAGCTTCATATTAAAAACCATAATTAATGTGGTAGTTCCCAGTGCACTTTGCTTTGAGCTGAAGAAGAAAGAAGTCTCACCTGTTCCTGGACCATCAATTGGCCAGACAGAATAGGCTGCAGAATTCCAGTTCTGGAGAAGGATGCCAAACTGAAGTTGAGACTCACAACAATGGCACTCAGTTTGTCTTTGAAATCAGCTTGATCCTGGGAAGGGGAGTATGTAAAAAGCAGTTTACAGATCCCATGGGTTAAGTTTTTCCCAGCTGGATGCCTTCCAGGTGTGTGGGACTACAACTCCATCACCTCCACCTGGTAAATTTGGAGCTGTAATTTGACAAATCTGGAGGACATCCAATTGAAAATGTGTGCTCAAATTACATCTTTCTGGAAGATTTGTAACTCTAACAAAGAGGTGGGGAACTTCTGATTTTCTAGAAGCCACAAATTCTCATCTCTGCAAAGAGAAATTTCTAGAGGCACAAAAGAGTTAAGTAGTACTTGTCAAACTGAAAGACACAAAAGTCCTGCCAAAACAAAAAGGCGGTAACTCTAGTATCCATAACACTGTTTCTCATCTCTATAATTCTACGAGCAAAGTCTGATCAGGAAACAGTCTCTCAATCTCATTGGGAGACTCCCAATCTCATTGTTGAGCATGTGAGGAAATCCTCACATGTTCAACATCACAATGGAATGGTTAACCTCTGCATTGTAGTAGGCTAACATAAATAGCCATAATGAAATTATTTTTGATTTGATGCAGTAAAAATATGCGGGAGCTTTGCCAAAAGCAAAGATACCAACCATATTTTTTAGAAAAAAATAATAGAAACTATCCAGTTTTTATTGAACGGTGACTCTTAAAATCCTTCGCCATTAGTCATGGTTGCTGGCTGTGGCTTCTGGGATTTGTAGATCATTCACATCTGGAAGTTGCTCCCCTTTCTGAAGATGTTGGGAGATTGATATAACAATAGCATAAATAATTTTATTCCAAGACAGGAAAGTACCACAAATGGGCCAAAACCTCCAAGATCAGACTTGTAAAACAACAGATTAAAAGTTCAAACATAAGAAGGTGGCCTTGGTACTTCCCAAATTACAGAAGGGAAAATGCACTCAGCCTTCTTTATTTCTCTGCAAATCTTGGGCTGCAACGTTCAAAGATGAACATAATTTCCAACTACTGCTCAAGCCTTTCCTACTATTCCAAACACATGCACACCGAAACAAAGACACGCTTTTGATGCCTGAGATACCTACCCGTAAGTAAGCCGTGACATTCTTACAAGTCAGGGGAATTTTTTTGGACAATTTCAGTTGGAATAACTGGCTTGGTTGGTTGGTTTGCAGCAATAAAACCCGCCTCCCAAATTTCTGCTTCATATGATCCAGCTGTAGCTCTGTGTTTAGTTCTAGCAGACACAAGGAAACAGGCAGAAAATAACATGAGTCTGATGAAGATTAATAGAAAAACCACAATCTACAGTATACTATACATGTTGATAACTAGAATATAAAACACTTATCTTTTGTTGTACAAGACAAGGCTTTTGGCTCAAACATCTGCAGTGTTCTTATAGTCCATACTTATTTTGTTCATTATGGATATGTGAGTTTCCAGAAGATTAAGGAATGTGTAACGGAAAGACTGTACACTCACATAGCGATTTAAGACCACCGTCTAACTTGAGTACCGTCCAGAAGTGCTATCTGACAGCAATACTATGTTGCTTAGGATTAAGGGGAATTGATCCAGCATTCTATGGGGCATTAGATTAAGATCCTTCCCCCATTTACTACTACAACTAATGCCAAAATAAACCAAGGTGGAAAGGTGGATGGGTGGGAAATACGATTTAATAACTCACTTCTTAATTTCAGCTGCTTTCTCTTTAATTTCATTTCTGGCACAGCTGAGTTAAGAAACAGATTCATCCTGTTGTTGTTTTTTTTCTGAAGTGCTAAACATGCTGATAGGTTAATAAACAACCATGTTTTCATGCACATATTAAAAATTAAATTCTAAAGTTGCTCTGGTCATAGAAAAACTGTGGGCACAAAAAGAAGCCTGTGGCAATGAGGCAAAGCTACACACATTTGTTAACTGTCTTAAGAGAACTATGCTGTTTCCCCCCCCCCAAAACAAGACATCCCCTGATAATAAGCCCAATTGGGCTTTTGAGCACATCGCAATAAGGCCAAGCGCTTATTTCAGGGTTCAAAAAAATGTAAGACAGGTCTTATTTTTGGGGAAACATGATAGTTCTTAACTTTCTACAAATATTGCTTAAGGGACTACTGAATCTAGTTAATCCTATCTCATCAGAGACTGCGCAGTAAGAAAAATTGTGTTGTCTGCAATACTATCTCTACACTAGTGTTTCTCAATCTTGGCAATTTTAAGATGTGTGGCTTCAACTCCTAGAATCCCCAATCATCATGGCTGGCTGGGGAATTCTGGGACTTGACGTCCATATCAGTAGTGGGTGGCTACTGGTTCACCCTGGATCGGGCAACCAGTAGTGGCGGTGGTGGGAGGCTCTGCCCACCCGCCCGGATGTCTCTGCGCATGTGCAGAAGCTTCTGTGCACGCGCAGAAGTGTTGTGCGCGAGTGAACCGGTAGCAACGGGATTTGAAACCAACTACTGGTCCACATACCTTAAAGTTGTTAAGCTTTAGAAATACTGCTGTAGGGTATTGCTTCCAAGTTTCTGAAAAATCTTTCATCTTGAAGAACCCTCAAACCTCAGGATTTATATTGTCTTGATTTTTACCTAATTCCTCTTGTTATCTATGTACATCAGGGGTGTCAAACTCGCATTGTTATGGCATCACCACATGATATATTGTGACTTTCCCCCCTTTGCTAAACCGGACATAGGGGTGGCCAGTACGTGACGCATCTGGCCCAAGGGCAGCAAGTTTTCCGCCCCTGATGTACATGATCATGACCACAATGGCCTCTGTTCCTCCAAATTACTGGTTCAACACTCACCAATTTCTGATGGAATGTTCTTTCCTAACATTCGTACACACATCTGGATGTTGAAGCTGCATTGATGAGGAAAAAGACGAGGTTCATTTTACAGATCAAACAGAGCATACCTAACTGAAAAATAACTAACCATAGAACCCGCTTTTCTGAACCCCACCTGTACAATTGTAAATTTTATTATATGTTTAAATAAATTATTAATTTCATGAATTTATTTGAGGGTGAAGTGTCTTGTGCATGTATAGAGTGGGAATTTGACCTGAACATGGATATCCTTCCCGCTATGCTTACCAGCTGGCCTGTGCTCCTGGGCATGTTTTCGACTCTGAATCAAGCACATCAGGTATGGAAAGGTGGGCTTTGAGTGTAATCATTGGCTGAGCTCTAAGAAAGACAAACATAGCATTATTATAGGTGCATAGGTGTATATGCAGCTGGGATAAATGGATAAACTAAAGGATCTGTGGCAATGTCAGAAATCCTCTTACTCATTGTTGGTGAATGAGACAAAGGACTTTTCCAAAATTTCTAGTCATGGACATATCCTGATGGATGGGTAAAATTTCTCTACAATAACATTTTCTGCTTTTAACTACTAATTCAACAGTATCCGTACGCTGGGCCAGTCTTTTCCAATTTCATGCCCTTCTGTAGTGTTTTTCTACAGCTGATGGGAGCAATAGATCAACCCATTAGAAGACACTGCATTAAAGAAAGAAGTTCTGGTGTCAAGAGCAGCATCACATCACTCAGACCTTCCTCTGAGTGGACCTACTTTGATTGCAGGTTCTCTTTCCTTTTCCCCTGTGCTTGGGTGTATATCAACTTTTCTCAGCCAAAGGGCTTCTGTGTGAGTGGAGACAAGAACTGTAGAATTCCCACCATATCTGAAAGCCTTCAGGTTCGGGAATGCCAGCATATGCTTTTGTGAAGTTTGACACTAAGTTATGTGCAAAACTATGATGCAGTATAATAGATTTGGGTGGCCTCTAATTAGTTTTAATCCTTAGATATAAGGTCACTTTTCACCCACCTAGATATAGGGAATAGCTTTTATAGGCTTGATTTTAGTAAAAAAAAAAAAAAAAAAGATTCAGTTTTGGGCACAAGATGGAAAAAATGCTAAGACATTTTCCAAGATATTCAGGTGATACATCACTATTGCTTAGAACTGTTTCTTTTCTCAATTAGTTTTCTTTCCACAATCACCAAACTTGTCAAAGTGCAAACTCAACAATTCTATTTGCAAAGTAAGAACAACAAACACCATAACTCTGTAAGTTTTGGCTAGGAAATTACCATATTTGTAATTTAACTTAGTGTTTCCTATGGCAAAATTCTAGCTTATTCATAATTACAACAAGTCCCATCCCCCCCCAATCAATAGGATATAACAAAATCCTATATTGTAAACAGTTCTATATTTTTGAATTTGGCAAAACAATATTAAATAAGATTTTTAGGCACCCTTTTGCCTTTTCAATAGTTCCTTGAATTCTTTTTCTTTCTACACAATTTCATCTTCATTTATAAATTCACAGGCATTTGTTAAGTAAAAATGAAAAATAAAAAAGAGGAAGAGATTATCATTCACCTCTTCCTTTCCATCCATAAGAGAAAAGTAGCATAGAAAAAAACTTATGTCAAAATGAAGAGACTTTGCCATTTTCCAGACATTTTCTAGTCCCCACACTAAACCAATTGGTACAAATTCTTTGCAACCCTTTCAGCAAGTGTCCAGTATGTTTCCCTAAAGAGTGGGGGCTCTTGAAAGAACATATGACAGTTCTTGAAAAAGAAAGATGATGCCACAAATTTCAGAAAAAAAGCACTGACAGGTAGCTGCACTTCAAACTATGAGATCCAAAGGTCTTGGCCATACTCACTCACCTGTAGACAGCTACCTTGTTGGTTCTGAAAGCACCAACTAGCACATCTGGGTGTGAAGAAGAAGATAAAAAACAGAGGGGATTAAGGATGCAGCATTCCACCAATCATCATTCTGAGCCCCCAGTGCTACCCATCTCACTGAAAAGAATAGCAGTCAATCTAAGCTTTCCTTGTAAAAAGCACAGGATTTTTCACATATTCGTATCTTTGACTAATTAAAACATCTTTTGCAATCTACCTGTGGCCTAAATTAGTTTGTCCCTAACTACGTTCTCCTACATTGGTCTGGTTTATAGTTTCTAGTCAACAAGACCAAAGATCATGCTAGTTTGGAATTATGGAAGTCATTCCCCTTATTGTGATTGTCATGCTGATATATACACTATTAAACATATTGTGCAAGACTGCCCAGGACATGCATTCTCTGGTTCTTTAGAAGATCTACAGGAAGCAATACCAGGGGTGATCGCTTCGGTAGCTGAACTGGACATCCAGCTACAAGACCATTGCCATATCCCCCATAGAAGTTTTATATATAACTATGTGGATTGTGTAAATACTGTATGTTTACTTCTCTCTGTCATGTTTTCATCATATGTTAAACAACAACAACAACAACAACAACAATAATAGTGATAGAAGTCATCAATGGAAGTTATCATGCACTTAAAAGGGCCATGCTAGAGGAAAGCTGGTTGAGATCAAAATAAAACTTTTGGGAAACTTCAGCATTGTTCTACTTTGGTTCAAATAGCAATAGCACTTAGCTTTATATACTGCTTCACAATGCTTTACAGCCCTCTCTAAGCGGTTTTCAGTGTCAGCATATTGTCCCCAACAAGCTAAATCCTCATTTTACCGACCTTGGAAGGATGGAAGGCTGAGTCAACCTTAAGCCTGGTGAGATTTAAACTGTCAAACTACTGGCAATCAGCAATCAGCAGAAGTAGCCTGCAGCATTCTAACCACTGCGCCAGCACGGCTCTTACAGATTAGGCTAAGTATATGACATAACAAAATATTGTATTACCAGGATAGCCATTAAAATCAATGTCAGAGGCTCCACGGATGGCAAAGCCAAAACCAGCAGACTCAGAAAAAGGACTCTTGAGGATTTGGCTTGGCGATGCGCTCAGTCCTTCACTGTGCCCACAGTAGATGTAAACCTGGCCACCTCCATCTTTGCCCGCAAAGGGTGCTCCTATGGCTATGTCTGTGGAAACAAAATATAATGGCAAATATTTTCCATGGGGAAAATACAAGATGAAAAAGCCAAAAGAAAAGGAGGGTGGGGAGAAGCATTACAAGGGGTATTTCCAAATGCTGAATTAAACTGCTGTCCTTCAATCTTTAGCAAAAACGAACCACTGAACTACTGACCTTTCGATCAACCAGCTCAGTGTCTTAGCCACTGAGCCACCATGTCCCCTTTGGTCATAGCCCAAGTTAAATAAAGTGAAACCAATAACAGATTGGTGTCACAAAGGTAGCCTAATTTTATTTTTACTCAGGATTTTCCTTCTTTTCTTTTCTTTTCTTTTCTTTTCTTTTCTTTTTGTTTCTTTTCAATACAGGCAATTAATATTGACTTTCAGATTCTTCATTGTTCTCAGGAAGCAAAGATGAGCAAGAAGTTGATCCATCAGTCTTGCACTTAGCAAGACTATCAAGTTAAAGCATTTACAGAACAGCCAGCAGAGCAACTGATGGCATTGCACAATTCTGATATTTCACTACCAGTAGTACATTCAGTGTATCTAATTTTTTAGGGAGGTACAGCAGAATAGCAACAGATGGACTGGGTAGAGATGAGAACACCTCTCTGATCTCACCCACCAATTGAGTTTACTTCAGAAGTGGCAACGCTTAGCAGGTTTTACACACTTGTAGCTGTCATTGGACATTCTAATTTAAGGATAAAACATTATTTTAACCCCAGCATAGTGAATGATGCCTTAAGTCTGCCTCATCTAAGGGCTAGGGACTAGATGAAGACAAAATCATAAGGACATGGCAAAACAGCAACTACCACCACATTACCACGATAGGTTTTTGCGTTTTGCATTTGTATTATTTGTAACAATAAATGAATGTTTGTGCCGTGGGCAGTGGCAGACGGTTGATGACAAGACCAACTTCAAGCATTAGGAAGATAGAAGTTTAAACTGAGGGCTCTTTGAGTATCCTCCAAATTTAGGTTCCAAGAGACCAATAGACATGGATACTAATGGGGTGGTGAAAAGGTACTGCAGATGACCAAGGTTACTTTCAGGTGGATCTTTTAAAAAGATCTCAGCATGGACAGCAGGTTCCCTGTAAGGAAGAATGCAGCTTCTTTACAACCTCAAATGCATGCTTATTACCATCTAAACCATTCTAAGACCAGGGACCAATGCTTGCTTGTTTGTTTATGTATAAAATTTATAGGCTGCCCAACTTATCTCAAGGTAACTCTAGGCACTATTTAAATATTTAAAACTAGACTAAACATATCATCCATAGACATCTAGACTCAGCCACAAGGAATCCTAGATCATGTGATGATACAGTGGTCTCTCTTTCAACAGTGGGAGGTAGCTGAGCAGAGATACAACAGAGATTTTTCAGATTGCTTTCCTCCCTATTTCTCATCCATGCCTTCTTACCAATGTAGCCATCCTGATCTATATCACCCAAAGGAGCAATAGCCATGCCGAAACGGCCATAGACATCTCTGCCAGTCAACTTCTGCCAAGGAGTTCTGTAAGGGCGTGGGCTCCTCCGCTGTAGGTATAAGTAAACTCTTCCCACTTCATAGAGTTTCCAATCTGAGCGGCGCTCCATGAAAAGAGGGGCACCCACTAAAAGGTCATCTTTCCTGAGACACAGAAAAGAGGTTATACATAGCACAGTCTCCATCTCGGTTAAAGCAAATACAAATAACAATGGTAAGTGTAACCTGCCTAACACTGAGGCCTTAAATTACAGTAGATTTGCAGAAGTCTAACTATGGACTTTTCAAGAGGCATCTATCTAGCCAAAATAGGAACCAGCATACTGGTTCAGGCAGGCCTTATGGTTGCTCCATAAGGAGTCCTGCATACTCTTTCAATGCTGAATTATAGTTCCTTCCACCACCACCACTGAGAGATCATTTGAATTTCTTCCAAAAAAGAAATAAACAATGTGCAGCAGCATTGTTATGTATCAGATTCACAGACCCCACTTACCACTGAAACATACCTAAGAAGTGTAGTACTTATTACTGGAAGCTGCATCTACATAAAGGAGACTAGGAAAACAGGACCAAGAATACATATGTGCTTTGGAGTTGTAAGGGAAACTGCAAGGGGGCTGTTATTCTCCAATAACGTCTGTTCTGCTGTTTCTTTTTTAGACTGTTTCCCAGGACTCACACCATTCTCTTATGTGAGTAGTCCTGAGAATCTAGGCAATGATTCTTCTCTAGTATCATGCCTGGATTTTAATGAGAACCCAGATACCTTCCCCTTTCTCTTCTCTGAAAAGGCTAATTTGTTTTGAGATCAGGGAAAGTTATCTTGTTTTGAAGGAGATTGTGGCAATAATCAACACCTGTAAGACCTGGCATAATAATGTTGTTTTGTAATCAGTAAAGAGCAAGCAGAAGGATCAATGGTAGGTGTGTTCTTACAGACGCTTCTGCCTGTCACCTCAACGCTATCATTCTGAAATTAGGCCTCTTCTGTTTCCATTTTAAAATAAATTAATACTTCCAGTACAAGAGGATAAAGAAGCACTTTTCTTCTGTGTTTAGGAATAGTGTTTTTGTGTATGCCTGTTTATTTTAGAGCTAGTCTTGACTGTTGAATATTAGACAAGCCTTGTGACTTTCTTAGCAACATTTTCAGGAAGGGTTTCCCATTGTCTTCTTTCTAGGATTGAGAGAACATGGCTGGCCTAAGGCTACCTGCCTGCCTTTGTGCCTAGGACATTGTGACAATTCACACACCCCAATTTTTAATTCAGTGCCTTTAACCACTACACCAAACTGACTCTCTATGACTATATTAAGGCAATACAAATCAATGGGATATGATTTTATTTTTTTATTTTTTTATTTGTCCAACTTGTATGCCACCTTTCTCCAAAGACTAAAGGCCGCTTACAATGCATTTAAAAACCATATATAAAAACATTAAAAATTAAAACATTAAAAACAATTAAAATCCATTCACACCATTCATGGCCGGATCTCACCAGATCACAACAGCGAGATCAACGGCCCCAGGCCTGCCGGAAAAGCCAGGTCTTCACCGCTTTTCGGAAGGCCAATAGGGTGGGGATGGTCCGGATGTCAGGAAGTAACTGGTTCCAGAAAGCTGGGGCAGCCACAGAGAAGGTTCTCCCCCGCGGGCCCGCCAGCCGGCACTGTTTAGCTGACAGGACCCGGAGGAGACCAACTCTGTGGGATCTTATTGGTCGCTGGGAGCTATGAGGTAGAAGGCGGTCTCGAAGATAACCTGGCCCTGAGCCATGTAGGGCTTTAAAGGTAATAACCAACACCTTGAATTGTGACCGGAGACCAATAGGGAGCCAGTGCAGCTCACGGAGAATTGGTGTAATGTGGCTGTACCTAGGTGCACCCAAGACAGCTCGCGTGGCTGCGTTCTGGACCAACTGTAGTCTCCGAACACTTTTCAAGGGTAGCCCCATATACAGCGCATTGCAATAATCTAACCATGAGGTGACAAGGGCATGAGTGCATGTGAGGAGAGCCTCCTGATCCAAGTAGGGTAGCAATTGGTGCACCAGGCGAACCTGTGCAAAGGTCCCCCTAGCCACAGCTGACAGATGTTGCTCTAATCTTAGCTGTGAGTGTAGGAGGACACCCAAATTGCGAGCCCGTTCTGAGGGGGACAATTTATATACAATGATACATATTGTATCATTACCTACAGTAGAGGATAATAAGAGATATAAGATATACCACTGCTGGAGGTTATAAAATGATTCACTATTTTTATGGCTTTAATTGATCTTTAATTCAATAGTAATGAGGACATTTTAAAAATTATTATTAATGTATGTTCAAACAAAATTGAGTCCAAATGACAAATATTTTACAATATGAAAGATGAAAACTAAATGATTGTAACATTGTTGAGTTCAGGCTTAATCATGAATGTAATTGATTTCAAAGAGCTTGATTAAATCTTGATCCAGTCTAATGGAAACCATCATAACAGCTTATGGACCAGCAAAAGTAGACAAAATCATATTACAATACTGTAAAGTTATTAGATTGGAGTTCTGCCACTCTTTTGTACTTGTGCTCTATTTCTTCGTTAATTGTTGCAGATTCACACTTACGGAATGTAAATTTGAGTGAAAAAATATAATAGGCACTATTACAATCAGTGATGGGTTGCTACCTGTTTGCCCCAGATTGGGTGAACCGTTAGCGGTGGCAGCGGGAGGCTACGCCTAGCCGCTCAGATGCTTCTGTGCACAAAAGCATCACACACGCGGAAACACGCCCACACCCACACACAAAACATTAGCGATGGGTTTTGAAACCTGCCCCGATTACAATCTTACTTCTAATGTGTTTGATAAGGCTTTTAATGGAAAAAGTTGGTAACAGTATAAGGGTGTTAGGAGTATTTGTTATATTTGTTACATATATATATATATATATAAAAAGACAGAATTGTAGCTGCATAATATCTTTTTATTGGTGCTAGTAGGAGTATCAGGATTCCCTTTGCCAAAATTTCAACAACATCTAGCTGACAACAGAGGGCAGCAAATTCCCAAAATGGGCACATGAATCTCTTTAGATGCAAAAGGAAATCCTGGAAGAAAAACTGGAGGAAGCAAGTCAATTGATAGATAATTTCAGCATGTAAACTTTTTGGCTAACTTAGCATTTGTAGCTGCACTTTAGGGATAAATTACAAAGATCTGCATTCAGTGCTCCTCCAAATATCCACTCAGAGAGGTGTAGATGAAGGAGGCAATGACAAAGGGCTCACTGTCAGCCCCTGGTTTGTATTAGCAGACCAGGACACAGAGAAAACAGGAGCAATTGGCTACATTTATGGTGGCTGCTAAGAATTTGATTGTAGCTTCAGGGCCCCAGAAGTAAACTCTATTTTATTCATGTAATCAAGAGGATTTTATGATTTAAATGCTCTTGAAACCAAAACACTTTACATTCTCAAAACTTTCTTTGTAATCAGATAACAAACACATTCAGTAGATTGTTTTTCTAGTTTAGCAGGACTTGTTCTTAATGGAATGGCGGATGATTGGAACAAAAGGGATCGTTTGGGATGCCTGTGATATAATGGAAATAACTAGTTCTTGCCACATGAATCATTAAGATCAATGTCCAGAATTATTTAGCTACCAAATTGACTATTTAAGTTAAAGAGAGAGAGAGAATTTCAAAAATTTAGGGTCTTTTATTTCTATCCACAGCAGACATCTTTTTTGGCTATGATTATCAAATGGTGCCTTGAGGAGCACTGAGAAAGATGGCTGGAAACAAGGGCAACCAACAGAGGTGGTTACAATTGGTAATGGGGATAGGAAACTCTATGATGGTTATTTATCTGCTGCTAACAGCTAATCAAGCTGTAGAAGAAAAAGTGCTTCGGATGGCTACTCTCTTGCTTGTCCTTTATGATATTAAACTAAGCATGTGGTCCACACAGATCAGGACTTAACTGCTGTCACAATCTAGAAAATTATCTTTATCCACTTTTGTTTTTCCTTTTTCTTTCTTTTTCTTACCTTTCTTTTTTTTTTTAATATGCTCTTATTGTATTTACAAATTCTAACTTTAAAAAAAAACCAAAGAAACTGTTTCTCTCGTTCTCATTACACTAAACCATGAACTGGCAGAGTTAACATAGCCAAGCATTTAGTGTTGAATTCTAGTTGGCTTTCTCTTTTGAAGCATTTGAATAAAATTTCTATTCATGGACATCCAGTACACTGGCTGTTTAAGAGGGTTGGTGGAAGGAATGAAATGTTTGGAGGGCATCTGACAAGGCTAATGTAAGGATTACAACTCTTCAGAGATTTGGATAAAATTGGGATGAAGCAATGAAAACCTTCCTGAAAAATCTCACACTCTTGCCATTCCTCTTCTTGTACTCATGGGTTGAATGATAAACTTGGGGCTATATATCTACCCTTTTTAGACAACCATAGTATCTGGCAGTAGGTGTCTTTTGGTGTTTATTTGAAAGTAGAAATAATAAAATCAGCATCTAAGACTACGCAGCTAACTCCTTGGCTATAATTATTTTAAAAAAGCAATGAGAAAAAAAACCCTAAAGATTGGTGTTTTCAAGCAGCAACAACCCTTGTTAGCTAGGCTTGCTCATATTCACCAAATAATTTGTGGGCTTTAATACACAAAGTATTGTGCATTAATACTTTGTGGGCTTGTCTGGGACCCCCATTATCTGTCATCCCTGGATTTCCATCCTAGTATCTAGTTTTAGCGCACTCATGCTTCTGAATCTACTCATTGAGTCCCTGCTTTTACAACAGTCTTTGTATTAAGCCTTCATAATGCAAGATGACAAAGTCCCTAATTTCAGACCAAAGTTTGGTGGATTTAATAGCTATTCCCCCTCCCCCACCTAAATCAGATGCAATTTAAATTTAAGCTACTTTGGCCCCTCCTTTGGCCTTACCCATCTCCATTGATATCAGCAACTGCCACTGTATGCCCAAAATATGATGCCACCTGCAAAAGGAAAGAAGTGAAGTTAAAACCATCCTGGGAACTTATGTATTTGATACAATGATAGCTTGCCTTCCCATCAAAGAAATGGCCACATGGGAATTACTTTACGTTAGGAAGCACTGGCTAATTTCCAATTCTACTAGTCCAGTGACCTTCTGAAAACATTTTAAGAGCCATGAAGAATAAGGACTCAGGTTTACTTATCCAGCAATCCCATTTGTATTTTTAGGCTGTATGAGAAGAAAAATGTTTACAATGAACCAAGTGAGTAGAATCAGCAATAGTGCAAAATGTAAGTAATATTAAAAATAGCAAGAGCACTTAGACTTATATACCGCTTCAAAGTGCTTTACAGCCCTCTCTAAGCAGTTTACAGAGTCAGCATATTGCCCCCAACAATCTGGGTCCTCATTTTACCAACCTGGGAAGGATGGAAGGCTGAGTCAGCCTTGAGGCAATGAGACTCGAACTGCTGAAATGCTGGCAGCCAGCAGTCAGCAGAAGTAGCCTACAGTACTGCACTCTAACCACTGCACCACCATCACCAGAGTGGCTGTATTTATTATCTAAATCTCCTGGTTATTCTCCACCCTTTCAACTGGGAAAAGAGTATAAGGAAGTCCTCCCAAGCATCCTGCTTTTCAGGTAGGGTTACAAAAGCAAGAATTCCCAGCTAGCGTACATTTCAAACATATCTGGAAGGAACCACTAGACTGTTATTGATGGGTCAGAAGAAGCAAAGAAAACCATGTGAGAGAAAGATTTATTTTTTACCTGCTCACTGGAGATAGTCCAGAGAATGTGGAATTTATCGGTCCAGGTAAGAATTTCCACCTAAGATAAAAAATGGGGGCAAAGAATCAAGTAGATTAAAGCTCTATCCTCTCAAAGAGATCCAGCTATTTATGTTTTTCAGGAAACCAGAATATGCAGTATTTTCATATCCAAGAATATGAAAACCTGATATTGCTTGGCTAAAATTTCCATGTCTTTGCCCATTGGTCATGCTGGCTTGGCAGATTGGAACTGGAGTCCAAGATGTTATCTAGCCTGACCATCAAAAAGGTTTCATGCATCCCCTAGAGATAAGAAGTAGAGCACGAAGAATTCCAGATCAAGAGGGAATTGGGGACATAAAAAACCTATATTCCAAATAGACAAGCATTCCCTGTGGCAGCCATTCTGGATAAATCCCCCTAGAAAAGATCCTGACATGCTCACTGGCCCAAAACAAGTGGGAACACTTGCTATGTGACTGTCACTGTTTTTTATGAACCCAGACTTGTTTTCAGAGCAGTGGAGGGAGAAAATAATAAACTATTGTTGAATCCTAGAATAAATGCAACAGGGACATATATAAAATGTTTCTCTGCATACATGGAAGGAGACCATAATCTGTGCCATTGCTCAGGCATGCAACCCAGGGGTGCTATTCAGCAGGTTCTGACAGGTTCTGGAGAACCAGTAGTGAAAATTTTGAGTAGTTCGGAGAACCGGCAAATACCACTTCTGGCTGGCCCCCGAGTGGGGTGGGAATGGAGATTTTGCAATATCCTTCCCCCAGGAGTGGGGAGGGAATGTGGATTTTGCAGTATCCTTCCCCTGCCACACCCATCAAGCCATGCCCACCAAGCCACACCATGCCCACCAAGCCATGCCCACAGAACCAGTAGTAAAAAAATTTGAATTCCACCACTGATGCAACCCAATATAGACTTGATATTGGATCTATGGAGATTCTTAGTCATCCAGGTCATGGTTGTCCCAAAGGTGCTTTTTCAAGAGGCAACTGGACTTTCTGGTTTTTCTTTAAAGATGTTTCGCTTCTCATTCAAGAAGCTTCTTCAGCTCTGGATGGTGGGGAATGGAAGGATTTATACTCCTTGCAGACAGCTGGTCATTTGCATTCTTTTAGCGAGTTGTTAAGGTCACCTGGAGGTTTATCTGCGTCATCAGAATGCAAATGACTAGCTGTATGCAAGGCATATAAATCGAATATCAAGTCCAGATTCAGAGTATGTAAACTGAGCCTAAAGGAGCTCCCTAAAAAGGCTGCTGAGTAGCCCTTTATATACAGTAAATAAGCTGTTAATGTTTGGTTTGCACTTTTTTCTCTGGAAGAGACAAAATAAGTGCACCACCCTTTCCTTCATATTTCTTCTGCTTGTGTCTTGTACTTACCGCTCCTTGTGTCAGGCTCATGTTAGGAATGCCCACTACATATTCTGCAAATAGAAGGGTATCTCAGTAGTTACAAAACACCTGGCAAGCTAATTCGTTCATGAGCTAGGCATGGAATTCATGCTGAAAATCCTGTTGCCTACTAAATTCCTGAATTTTGGGTGGGGAGTACTAAGATTAGAGAGGCTTAGACATCCTAATCAGATATTAAACAAATACTCTTGAAAAACTGGGTGTTCTTGGCTAATGCGATTGGAAACAATTGAAGTGAACATTAAAATATTCATTTTAAATTCCTGCCAAAAAGATCATAAAGTTCACTAAACAACAAAATAGCCAGGAAGCAGATCTCTTCTTAACTCTGTTGATCCCAACCAACTCCAGAGGAAGTTTAAGAGGAAAATTTCAGAGGAAAAATAAACTTCATTTACCTTGTGACGTTGAGTCTTCATTAAACTCCCCCAAAGCCACAGAGTAACCTGCATGGAAGGAAAGATTGGGCAATTTGTGGGCAACTCACTTGGACATGAAGTACCTGTTTCCTGAATCCTAGGGCAAGGCAATCAAAATAATCCCTAGGGAATCAAACAGGATGACAATGCTCCTGTTGGCAAGCATTGTAAGTCATTTTGAGCAGGTTTGACCATCTAGATATCAGGTAATTTTTATTCTGCACACCTTAGTATGTGTTTCTACATAGTCTTTATCTGAACATGGGCTCCACGTTCCACAATTTTAGCATGGCATAGCATGCCCCAGTGGAGAACTGTCTTTTGCTTAAGGCAGGGGCCGAACCCCTGGGCAGTCGGCCCACTATCAGGCCGCAGCCCATTTGCACAAATGGCAGGTGAGCGTGCATGCATACCTCCATTTGCACACAAGTGCCAGGTACTCATGCTCATGCGCGTAGCTCCATTTGTGCAAATGACGGGCATGGGCACCCGTGGCTTGCACATATGGAGTTACACATGCTCACATACGTGCCTGTCACTCACACAAAACCGCCTCCTACCCTCATCCCTACCAGTTCGCTAAGATGGAAAAGTTGGGGACCACTGGCTTAAGACATACCTATAACTTTTTTTTCTTCTGTTCTATTGTGTCAAATTATTGGAGATCGCCTGGACTAATCTCTGCAGTTTTCTTAGCTAGGTTTTTTAGAAGTGGCTTGTCTTTGCCTCCTTCCTGGAGCTGGGAGAAGGTAACTATCCCAAGGTAATTACCCAGCTTGCTTTTTGCCCAAGACGGGACTAGAACCTCAAGGCTTCCTTGAGACGGGACTAGAACCTCAAGGTTTCTAGCTGATTATCAAATAACCAAATTATCTCTCATTTATAGCATGCATTCATCCAAACAAAAGCAGACATCAACAATGTGATCTTGAGCACAGAATTCTCCATCTAGAGTATTTCAGCTTTCATACTAAATTTCCCTGGGCTGTGCAACAAAATGGGGAGAGTGGTCTATAATGCTTCTAAATGAATGGATAATGTTAAAGATCCTTATTTATTTATTTATTTATAAAATTTATTAGCCGCCCATCTTACCATAGGGTAACTCTGGGCAGCTTACAGTTACATCTAAGCTAAAACATAAAAAGTTAAAATAAAACCTTAAAACCAAAGACACATGGGGAGGGCAGGGCCAGAGCCCGGGAGAGGGCGGGAGGGGGGGGAGTGGAATCTGTTATTACTCAATCAACCACCTCTATTTTGCTGTTCCCTCACTGGGGCCCCAAGCTGACTGGCAAAGCCACATGTTAAGGCCCTTATGAAAAGATAGGAGGAGGGTTGGGGCCAACCTCATAATGGGGGTGGGAAGGGGCAAGATGTTTCAGAAGCCAAAAATAATATGCAGGCAGCATATGATTTCTGAAGCTAAAGAGAGATAATTTCTCAGGAGGGAGTAATAGTTGAAAAGTTAGGCCTAGGAAAGGTAGGGTACAGGACATTATTTTAAAAGGGAACAGTAATTGCTATTTACTAAAAAATTAAGCTCATTTAACAATAGTTGTGGCATGACAAGGAAGGTCAGGGTCAAAAATAGGTAGGTAGGTAGGTAGGTGGATGGGTGGGTAGGCAGGCTTCTCTCTCTTTTGCTCCCTCATTTTGTCTCTTTCTCTTTTTTCCCTCAGCCAGCCAGCATGTTACAAGGAGATGGATTTAGCACATAGTGGAGCTGATCCCTTGTAGAAGCTGTTTGAACAGAAGTGTCCACGGCAGTCAATTAACTCTGCAATTGAAGAGCCACCCCTTTGTGTAAATGCCTCTGCAGGCCTTCAGTTGTAATCATGCCTATCATCTTGACTTTTTAAAAAAACCCTTCCTCCGTACAGACACCCTGGTTTAGAATTAGGCCAAGGGCCACTTCTAATATGAAAGTGGTTGATGGTTCACTTTTGGCATATCAGCAATGAGCAAGAAGAACTGGTATAGCTAGTTTTAGCCAGAGAAACCCCATTTTGTTGAAAACTTTTCATGTTTTTAGCTTTGGGGCTTCTCATTCTTGGGCCTCACCCTCTTACCTTAAACCTGGGAGGCTACCTGATAGCCTGATCAAGGAACTCAAAGCAGCAGTTTGGTTAAGGGCTAAAGTCCTTTTCCTGTTCCAGATAAATTAGCTAGAAAGTTTTGCATAATTCATTATCAGCCGTATCAGTTAGGGACAAAAGACGGAGGGCTATAATGTGTGCTTTTGTTTTCGAAAGTGTATAAAAACAATTCTATAATTTGTGTGTGGGGGGAGGTCGTCTCTCTTGATTTGTGATGTAGTCCCAAGAGCACACTTCCTTGTGCTATACAGAACAAACAGGTTGCAATTTCCTGCATAGTGTGATAATTGGCTACTTTGCACCAGAGAAAAACAAATTCAGCATTTGACTGGACCAATTCATGGTTTGGCCGTCAAGCACAAAGGAAAAAGAGATCCCTCAAAAAAAAAAAAAAAAGAGGAACATTTGCTAAGTACTTTGGGCCCAACTCCTAAACTCCTCTGGTACATGCCACCTTGACCTTCTGTATGCACCCAGAGTCTGCTGAAAGAAAAGAATGCTAACTCACCTTGGTATCCATCATCATATTTATTCGTTATATAATCCTCTGTTATCAGTTCTGAATTCACGTACCACAACAAAACGGAAGATGAATCAGGATATTTTGCTTCAACATTTGACAGGGCAACTGAATAGAACAAACCTAAAAAAAGACAAGTGACACATTTGTCTATAATGGCAGCAGGACTCTAATTGGACAAACTGCTAGATGGGAGACTGCAGGTCCAGAACATCTACAATACATAAGTATTTCTCAACCTGAGCAGTTTTAAAATGTGTGGACTTCAATTCCCAGAAATTCCCAGCCATATACTGTATACTTCCTTTCCTGTTTCTGACCTGATTGCATCAATAGCAATAGCACTTAGACTTATATACCACTTCACAGTCCTCTCTAAGTGGTTTACAGAGTCAGCATATTTCCCCCAACAATCTGGGTCCTCATTTTACTGACCTCAGAAGTCAACCTTGAGCTGCTCAGTATTGAACTCCTGGAGTGAGCATCCCAAAGGTGCTTTTTCAATAGGCAACTGCACTTTCTGATTTTTCTTTGAAGACATTTCGCTTCTCATCCAAGAAGCTTCTTCAGAAAGTCCAGTTGCCCCTTGAAAAAGCACCTTTGGGATAACCGTAACCTGGATGACTGAGAATCTCCATAGACACCTGGAGTGAACAGTGAGTTAGCCTGCAGTACTGCATTCCAACTACTGTGCTACCATGGCTCTAATATCATGATGGAACTGAACAAAAGTCAGTTTTAGTCTAGCATTTTATTCCCATGATAGCTATAAGATATCTGCAGATATCTACAAACACAATTAGTATAATGGGTCTAATTGAATAGTTGTACTCAATGGGTAAGTACAATTAGACCCAGCCTCCTCCAGAAACTAACTAACAGGTAGTCCTCAATTTATGATCACAGTTGACAGCAAAATTTTCATTTCTAAGCAAGGCAAGTGAGTTGAGTTTTATGTAATAACCTTTTTTTGCCAATGAAACATGCGGTCATTAAGCCAATCTGATACTGGGCTGATAATAGTAATATAGCTACTACGATATCATCATCCATGAATGCTGTTCAAATCAGATGTCTATAGATGTTTATTCAGCTCCCCTCCCATAAAGCATGAAGGAGTTATTCCTCCTGCCTGTCCTCCCCATTTTCTAATTTAATAGGTTTAGCTTTACATCTACAGTAAGATTGTGAGGTTGAGAAAATAAAACATCACACTGTATATTGTATTAGTACTTGTTTTCCCCTTAAGCTAAACAGACCAAGGTACAACTTTTCTTCACAGGGGGTACTGCTTCAATTCATTATCTATTTTTATTGCTCTTTTTGGCAACTTCTCAATATCTGCAATAAATGATTGAAATGATTGACAAGTACAGGACATAGTATTTTGAGGACAACAGGTTTTCTTGGTGTTCACAATAGTTGATACATTTACCTGTGAAGTAATATCCACCTGGTGCACCAAGCATCAGCCTCCCAGACTGTGGGAAGAAGACAAAAAAAAAAGGGGGGGGGAGGGGGAGAAGTATAGCCCAAGTCAGCCAAAGACTAGTAGAAATACCTAAGAAGTCAGAATATGAGTTATATCTATTTCACAATCAGTTTTTGCTGATTATCTTCCTGAATTTTGCAAAAAGGAATATAAAAAAGACATGGTTAGATTATGATTTAATCATTATGGCATATAAACCATAGGATAATGTCTAAGTGTAAGAACAGGATCCATTCTGGGTCAGCCACCAGGACTAGAGATTTAGGTTTATTAAATATCTGGTCCCAGTGACCGACCGCCCCAGACTGGACACATAAATTCACCTTCATTCCTGAGCGCAAGAACTATTATGGTTTATACAACAACAAAACATATGTTAGCACAGTGAGTCAACCTAGTCTTTATATGCCTGTTTTTTTCTGCCTGCCTGTTCAGGTCTTTGCAAGAAAGATTCATGTCCATCATCAGTGTTTTCAGCTTTTAGCGGGTAGATATTTGGTGTAAGCTGGCTATATGTCACTGGAGAAATACCTGCTGTATTGTCTCTTTACAGTTAGCTTTCTTCAGAACCATCTTGAATCTGCTAGTGATAACAAAATTAGTATTGTAGAAGCTCCCATTGTCTGGCAAGCTTGTTCACATGACCACTGAATCATGGCAGCCAAGGCTAAAAGCCATTGAACACTGTAGATAAATAGATAGATAGATGATAGATAGATAGATAGATAGATAGATAGATAGATAGATAGATAGATAGATAGATAGATACGTAGGTAGGTAGGGTCTAGGTCTAGGTCTAGGTCTAGGTCTAGGTCTAGGTCTAGGTCTAGGTCTAGGTCTAGGTCTAGGTCTAGTCTATATATTGTTGAGTTACATACCCCTATGGGACATAGATATTCATAACAAGCACGTGCATCAACCGTGTCAAAATGATTCAAGAATCATAATGCCATTGTCAAATGATGTAATTACATATTTACACTAAGCCACATTGTTTGTGTGATGGCACATACTGTATGCTCCCAGTTTCTATTCCCTTCACCACCAAGAAGACCAAAGGATACACACCTCATTGCTAGGAAAATCAATTTTCATTTGTCATCGCCCTATCAACGTCTTCAAGAGGCTGGCTTACATATAACAGCAATTTTACTTTACAATAAGATGAATCAGTGTCTTGTCTTCCCAGATTACCAGAAACACAAGAAGCATTTAAGTTTGTACAAAGTTATAGACAATTCCATCACTACTTTCTCCTGGAATTTTTTCTAACCGTGCTAGCAAGGGGTAACCATGCTAGTCAGCCACTTGGAGTTTGCAGAATGGTTGTCTCCTGCCCATTGCATTTTTCTCCTGCAAAACTCACCTGAGAGATGGTGAAGCTGAATCCAATTTCACAGTAACGCTTGTCTTTTTCTGATGAAATAAACAGATGAGAAGTTCAAAAAGCAAGTGACATTAGAGAGCCTTCCTAAGGAGGGATCCCAAAGCTCTTCCCTTACCCATTTTTCAAGCTTACCCATTCTGTTTGGCAGCCTAGACAATTGGTGCATCAACTGCCAAGGACAGATTTCATTATTTTTCCTCTTCAGAATTTTAGTGCTCTAGTTATCTTAGGGCCTTAACCTTAACCCTGCTTCATTTATATATGTTGGGATCTTTTGATAATCTCAGTAAATATTGATAATCTTCCTATAACAGACAGGCATTTACACACTAAAAATGAATTGTAATCTATTAAACTAGAATGTTATGAAAAATTCACTTTTCTGAGGATGGTGATTTTTCATATTATTTTGATTAAAATTTGGAGAGTCTGCTTCTTAGGGAATGGGTTTATTTCTGCATATACTGGGTACTTTATCTACAGGATAATGTGTACTTTAAAAAAGCTGAGAGAAAAACCTAATGTATATACTCACTCACAGACAAGCCCCTCCCTGGGTAATCTAAACCCAGTTTGGAGGAGACATATTTTGGCACTTAAAATTCTCATCTTATCGATGAGTATCATCAGTGTCTCTAAGAAGGCTTATGTGTACAATTCAGACAGCCCATTTGTGAATTATTTACTTAATATAGCACAGCACTACTAGGTCAATTTGCATAATCAGGCATGAAGTAATTTGGGGCCAAAAAGCTAAGCTTCCCTTAAGGCATCTTCACAACCTGTTGATTGGCTGTAGTCCAGTGGCTGGTTGCCCCCGGTTCGCACCGGTTCTATAGAACCGGTAGTAAAACTGGCGGGAGGCTCCACCCACTGACCCTGACATCATGAAAATATAACATATAATATGAGAGAAGAGTGCTCGCGCACGTGAGTGAAGAGTGCGTGCGCGCGGCCCTGTTGCAAACCGGTAGTAAAGGTAAGTAGAACCCACCCCTGCTGTAGTCCCAGCAGTCACTAGGCCATGGAAGATTTTAGGCATGGCATCTTCCTTTAGATAGCCCACCTTCCTCTTTTCCTCACCATATGCATGCAATACTCACCACCTGAGCTTGAATTGTAAGCAGAGTGCATTTGGACGTTACGGCATGGAGAGTATTCAGAGAATTTCTGACGGTCTCCTGTGGCCAAGAAACAGCTGCCCACTGGAGTTTTAGTGGTCTCTTCCTTATTCCCTATGGCATTCCAGTGTTGCAGTGGGGCACAGGCCTGACAGTTTGAAAGGAGGAAAAGGGGATGTTGTAGCACTAACAATCAGTGAGACACAATGAGCTTGTTGTAGAATAAATGTGGCCAAACAAAACAATTTCAAGTAAATCAGCAAAAGGGTCAAACTAACAACTGAACATTTTGTTAAGCCATAATCAGACTTGTTGTTTAGCATTCCCTAAAAGAACCATCATTTGTAGTAGAGGGATCTTCTAGAAGATCCCACCTATGTATAAGATTCTATTACATACTTGCACACCCAGAGCTGCATGGGCCTGAAAATCTACATACTTTCCTGTAGCGATCAAGGAGGTTAAACATATGGAGAGTGGGGATAAAGACCAGTGGCCAGACTGTTTATCTAATGTTCTTTCCCTTCATTCTTTTTTGACATTAGGAAGCTTTGTTATAATAGAGAATAGATAATAGCTCTCCAGATTTTCACTTCAGCTCTGTCACCTCTCATTGACTTGGTTGGCTGGAGCTGAAAGTACCCCCGTTTCCCCAAAAACAAGACTGGGTCTTATTTTCTTTTGGGTCCCAAAATAAGCACTAGGGCTTAATTTCAGAGGGTGACTTATTTTCCCCTCCGTGTACGGGAGACCCACTTCTGTTTGCTTGTGGTGGGACAGGAGGCTGTGCGGCTTGCCAGTGCTGCCACCATGAGTCAGGGGGGATGCAGCTTCCCCCTGCACCAGCTTATACCTCGGGGCCTGTGCAGCCAGTCCACCCATCCCCAATACCTGCCTTGCCTCACGGCCACTGCACCAGCATCCCTGTCCAACAGGACCCTGCGTGGCTGATGGTCCACTTCTGCTTGCTCACAGCTGCAACAGAGCAGGAGGCTGCACAACACACCAATGCTTGTACTATGGCCATAAGGTGAGACGGGTGAAACTGCCCATGCACCCTACACTGGCTTACCTCAGGGCCCTGCAGCCAGTCCACCCATGCCCCAACACCTTCCTCACTTCGCAGCAGCAGCAGCAGCAGCAGCAGCAGCAGCCCTGTCCAGCAGGACCCTGCATGGCTGCTGGCCCACTTCTTCTGCTTGCAACAGAACATGCACCGACACCTGTCTCACCTCGTGGCCAAGGCACCAACACACTGCTCAGCCTCCTGCTCCATTGCAGTTGTAAGCAAGCAGAAAAAGTGGGCTGGTGACCACTTGGGCTCCTGCTGCACATGGCTGTTGATGCTGCTGCTGCAAGGCAGGTGTCAGAGCGTGGATGGCCTGGTTGTGTGGGCCCTGAGGTAAGCCAGTGTGGGGTGCATGGGGCAGCATCCCCTCTTGCCTTCTGGCCATGGCCCAGCAAGCAATCAGATGGAAGGGGCAGCCAGACGGCTGTGCAGGCTCTTAAGTAGGGCTTATTTTCAGGATAGGTCTTACTTTTAGGGAAACGGTATTTGGAATTCAAAAACATCCAGAGGACCACACCTTCCCTGTCTTTCTTAAAGACAAACAATTTCTCACTTCTGGTTAGAAAACTAGGAATTTACAAATGAATGTGGGTCATAACTACAATGAAGCGCCAATAGCACTCGTACAAAACTTCACTGGAGAATTTATTTCAGCATGCCTCTTGAAAATGAACCAGAGATGCAGAAAATTATACAAATACAGCCTTAATTTAATGTTTCAAAGTAATCACTAGAGAAGCAAGGCAATTCCAATGAATTTGATTCTTTATCAAACTCCCAAATGTCTTTGTGGGGATCTTATTATAATTTGTTGTTAGCAATTTATTTTTATTTTTAATTGATTTTGGTCCTGATATGGCACTTCAGATTTTTTTAAATGGCTTTATTTTTTTAAATTGAGCTATAATAACTGAGGGGAAATATTTTCAAACTGGCCTTTAAAAATTAAATCTGAAATTATTTGGCTAAACGTTCAGCTTTTGTTAAATAGTATTTCATCAATTTTGGCATTTCTTGGATAGAATCAGAAACCAGTACCCACCACGATACTTTGTTTCCAGGTGTTTACAGATGCTCCAAACCACTGTTTAGACTTGAAGGTTTTCATAGTAACGATACCAAGTTTAGCCATTTGATCACCTGGGTAGCAATAGTGGCATGGACAAAATACAAAAAATTAAAGAAGATAAATGCAGTAAGCATTAGCCTGCCCCCAAATAATTCCTGAGCTATGGATCTATGGCTTTGTACTATTGGAGCTAAAATTACATTTCCTAATCTTTTGCAGATCAGTATGCTGGCACTGAGCATAATCAATACTAGTGAAAATGAGTAGGACTCTCTCTTTTCTCTCATCTCTTCTGCAACTTCCCTATCCTGTCCCCACTGTCTCTTTCTCTCTTCTCTGTCCCCAACCTACTTTCTTACACTTCTTCTTGCTCCCCTTTGGACATCAAGATAGTGAAGCTCCAGATGAACTGAACATTTGGACATGGTTTTTAAAATTAGAGCAAAGGCCACATAGGATCTCAGGCCACATGAGTAAAAAAAGGTAGGATGGTACTCATAACACTTAGCTATCCCAAAAGCTTTCAAATGGTTTTCTTCTCCATCTTCCCATTTCCTGATGATAGTATCAATTGCTCATAATATCTTGATTGTAGAATAAAGATAAAGATTGTAGAAAGCCACTCACCTTTAGTATCAAACTCAATAGGGATGCAGTTACTACCATTAGGTTTCCAAGGGCACAAATATACAGCACCTGCTTCTATTACATCAGGCTGCGATGTGTTGGCCCGAGGGGCTCCCACGACTACATTCATGCTAGAGGGAAAAAAAGGGGGGGTTGTATCTAGGTAGACAAGACTAGTGATGGGTTGCCCCCGGTTCGGACCAGTTCACAAGAACTGATAGTAAAACTGGTAGGAGGCTCCACCCACCGACCCCAATGTCATCAGAAAGCTTCTGCGCACATGCTCAGAAGCGCGTATGCGCAGCCCCATTACAAACCGGTAGTAAAGGTAAGTAGAACCCACCCCTGGACAAGTCCATCTATTATGAGAAGACAAAAAATCTGAATGGATTTCTGTGACATCTGGAGGGATTCTATTATACTTTGGATGTTATGCTACATTAAACTTTTGTTAAGTTTGAATGAATTTTCCTGAAGAAAAAGAAGACTAATCGAGGATATATATCATTCACTTAAAAGATTCTGTTGTTAAGATGTATTTGGACATGAAGTTATAAAGCATGCAAGATGAATTGAAGTAAGAATTTGGTAGATATGGCTCTCCATAGGTAAAACCTATGGTTTTACCACAGAAACAACTGCTTTATGATTGATGCTTCCAATAAGTTTGCTGCATCTGACTCCTTATAGATTCCAAGTTACATTCAGCAGTATTTGGTTCTGTGAATTGCACAGAATAATGGGTGATAGTGATGGATGATGGTACCAGTGCTTAAGAAAGATGGAAATCTGATGGAATGGCAGAAAGGGGTTAATATTTTCATCTGGGGTGGGAAGAAACCAAGAGTGAAACTGAAAATTATATAGGATATACATGAGAGAGGAGGTCTTAAAATGCCTAACTTAAGATTGTATTATGAAGCAGCTGCTTTTATCACAAATTAGTGATTGGTTTAACTTAACTGAAGAAAGAATGTTAAACATAGAAGGTTATGATTTGTTATATGGATGGCATGCTTATCTGTTATATGAAAAAAAAGTGGATAAAGGGTCATATACTTAGAAATGCGTTGTTGAGGGTTTGGAAAAAGTACCAATATAAGCTAAATTATAAGATACCCATATGGGCAAATCCCAGACATGCAATAGAAAATATAAGTATAGAGCAAAAAACAGAGGTGATTACTTATAAAGAGCTTTTTCTTTTGGAAAGGGGTAAGTTGCAACTGAAATCTTTAGATGTATTAAAAGAAGAAGGGATAATTTATACTTGGTTTCAGTATGGTCAGCTTCAAGCTAGATGGAGGGAAGATCAAAAAATTGGTGTTATGCAAAATGAGGAAAATCTGTTGAAACAGATTAGAGATCAAAGTCAGATTCATATTAAAAGGTTGTATAATGCATTATTGGAAATAGATTCAGAAACGGAATTGGTTAAGGATTGTATGATAAAATGGGCACAAAATTTTCAGGAACCAGTGATGATGGAAACGTGGGAAAAGATTTGGGTCAGAAATGTTAAATTTACGCAAGCACAAAATTTGAGAAAGAATTTTTATAAAATGTTTTATAGATGGCACTTAGATCCTAAAAAATTATCATGTATGTATTCGAATTTGCAAGCTAAATGTTGGAGATGTGAATGTAATGATGCAACCTATTATCATATATGGTGGACCTGTAAGAAAATCAAGGCATTTTGGATAAAAATTTGGTGGGTGATGCAGAATATTCTGAAAAGAAGGTTGAAATTTACTCCTCAATTGTTCCTATTGGGTATAATGACGGATTGTACAGTATTAGAGACTAAATTGATTTTGAACTTAATATCAGCAGCTAGGCTGTTGGTAGCGCAGTATTGGAAGAAGGATTCTTTGCCTACTATTGAAGAGTGGATACTGAAAGTAACGAACTTAGCAGAAATGGCGAAAATCTCAGCGTACCTGAAGGACTATACACAAGAAAGATACGTATCGGAATGGAGAAGATGGATTGATTATATTCAAAATAAGTATCAGACAAGAAAATATCAAATAGCTTATGAATGAATGTTAAGTATTAGAAGTATTATATTATCTATAGTGGAGTTAAGGTTTCAGGGGGGGAGTTAGTCGTCTGAGGATAAGTAGGTTAATCTAGTTTATGATTGTTAAATGAAATATCTTGTATTTTGCTCTGAGAAGTCTGGGGGGGAGGGTGGGATGAGGGGAGGGAAAGGGTGGGGGGAATATGGGGGGAAAGAAAATTCTTTTTTTCTGTAAAACTTTTCAATAAAAAAAATAGAGGCCCCCCAATCCCTGGACCAATACTGGTTTGTGATCTGTTAGGATTGGGCTGCAGAGCTGGAGGTGAGCGGCAGGTGAACAAGTAAAACTAAAACCATCTCCCCTCAGTCTGTGGAAAAATTGTCTCTCATGAAACCAGTCCCTGGTGCCAAAATGGTTGGGGGCCATTGATTTAGATTCTGCAGACACTCATTGGCCTAGTTTGCATTTTACACTAAGGAATGGCTCTGTGATGACGAGGAACAAGGAGGCTTTAGGACGACAGTGGATGGAGTTAAGTGTTGAAAATATGCAGAATCTTGTCATACAAAGGAATAAAAAAAGATTTTTCATTTCTATTCTCCCATTAGGATTTAGCATGGGGTCACAGGTCATGATTAATATTAAAACACTATGGTTACAGTTCTCATGTGTTTCCAATTTTCAGCCTTTGCACCACCAATATTTAATGGAGTAGTTGGAAGATATTTCTGGACTGCAGTAACTGTGGTAGAAGTGCAATTAATGTCATTTGACTCCTGTATCGGATATAATTTATTGACTAAAATACAATTGGCAGGTTTCCTCAATAGGATTGATGAAGTGCAGTGACTACATTTTTAGTAGATTCCTGTATCATTCTATAATAGCCAACAAGTTATATTACGAGCCAACTCATTGTGGAAATGCAGTCTTAGAATGTTTAGTTTCACAAAGGGATATTCTCTGTTTGAAGATCTATCTAGTAAAAAATCCTCCTAAAAAATCAAGAATTTCCAAAGGCAGCATGTGTACAATAGAGTATGAAATTCCATCTTATTAGAAATGTATCTTCCAACTTTTCACCTTTGAAAAGTTGGAAACTTAGTATATTATAGCTCAATCTTTCATACTATATATTTCCTTTGTTTTTTGATATTTATTTCAAGACATGACCTCACAAGACTAAAGCTATGCTTTTTGATTCAGTGTTCATTTTTAGTATAATTGCATACATATGGGCCTTCCATAAAAATAACTACATTGTATTCTGTGTGATAAAAATATGCAGACAAATGTTTTGGATTGCACTGTTAGATTAATGTTTCTTTAGTTTAATCTAAATCTGTTGTAATTTTTAGAACTAGAATGAACCATGGTTGTATTGCATGAATCATTCTGCAAGAAACATGCAGGAGGATATTAAGAACAATTCCTATATTCATCTTTTAAAACAATGTAAAAACTGCAAAAAGGTGAACTTTGCTGTGCCATCTATGGTAATTAGTTACAATTATCCTAGCAATGTTATCAGAATGTTTAATCAAGTGTGGTCATATGATACTGGATGATTTATCCTAAATACCAACAATTTGATTATTTGGATTTCTTCTATTTCAGTTAGATCTAAAGTTAGTGTACCTTAGACAATTACAAGCACGGCATGAATGTTAACTTTTAAAAGTAGGTTTATTGCATTTGATTTTTGCTTTCTCTCTGGGAAGGTCAGCTGCACCATAAAAACAAATCATAAATGATGATGGGCTAATATGGATAATCTTTTTCTGCTCTAAATAAATGGAGAGAACAAGGGGAGTGTGTATTGCATATGTAATGCAGAGAGCAGTTTAAATTAAACAGAAAATTTCTCTATTGAAGACTCTGAAGCAGAAAGAGTTCTCTTTCACCTTTAGTAATCTTTTGAAGAGTGGACACCTCACACAATTCTTAGGTTGTATGTCTGTATAAATTATAAATACGCAGATCTATCAGATATTATCAGCACTACCTGCTTTAGGATGTGCTGACTGGAGTTGCTTGGTGTCCATTGATCAGAAAGTAAGTTACATGGGCACCAGTAACATAACATAAAGATCAGTTTTTTTGGAACAGGTAACAGAAATCAATTTCCCAATCACGTCTAGGAAAGAATGTATATGCACAAAAGGGTCTGTGTCATAATCAAGTTGAGTGGGCTCCTCCTGCCCATCCATTAAACCAGGGGTGAAATCCAGCACGTTCTGACAGGTTCTGGAGAACCGGTAGCGGAAATTTTGAGCAGTTTGGAGAACCGGTAGCGGAAATTTTGAGTAGTTTGGAGAACAAGCAAATACCACCTCTGGCTGGCCCCTGGAGTGGGGTGGGAATGGAGATTTTGCAGTATCCTTCCCTTGCGATGCCCACCAAGCCATGTCCACCAAGTCACACCATGCCCATCAAGTCACGTCCACAGAACTGGTAGTAAAAAAATTTGGATTTCACCCTGCATTAAACCCAAGTAAAGAGCCACCTTCAATCTTTGAATAATGTTGGAAATTAGGAACTGGCAGAGGATAGAAAATCTAACTCAGCCTCTCCAAACCTGGCAAACTCCAGCTATGGTGGCCCTATCATTTCCAAACCCAATTTATCTAAAGAACCCTATAGATTGTAATAACATTAGGAGATGTAACTTGGGTAACAGATATATGAGTCAGCAATAGAGATGTTAACAGAGAACACTAAGCCATGATATAGCATTATAGATTGTTAGGGAATCATGGATAAAAGTTATAGCTTTATGAGTAAGTTAGGCCAGGTATTTTCAAATTTTTTTTATGGATTTTTTTTAATTTAACACCCCTCCCCCAAATCTCCACTCTAGTGATGAAAACCAGCTGTGTTCATTCCCCCCTCCCTTAATCTCTCATGGACTCTCATCAAGTTCTCATGAAATCTTGGGGTTCTGTGGAAAAGTTTTAAAAAATCCTGAAATAGAGGCTTTGGCCACTGTAGCAACACTCGGTGGTATTCCATTTCAGTGTTTAATTGTACTACCAGTAGTCTTGAATTTATAACCACATTTGAAAACAGAATTTTCATTCTTAAGCAAGGCAGATACCCAAGTTTATCTTTTTGCCATGGTTGTTAAGTGAATCACTGCAGTTATTAAGTGAATCATGTCATTAAGCAAATCCTACTTTCCTCCATTGACTTCGCTTGTTGGAAGACAGCTGGGAGGGTTGCAAGCAGCAATCACGTGATCCCAGGATACTGCAATTTTCTTAAATACATACCATTTGCTAGCAGCCAATTGCTGCAATGGTTGATTGTAAGTCACTATTTTCAGTATTGTTTTAACTTTGGTCGCTAAGTCAATGGTTTAAGTCAAGTACTATCTGTATATTAACAAAGCACCATTCTATTTTCTTTAACTTTAGCATGTTGTAATAAATTTTGCTCAGTTGCTAGTTTAAGAATGAATAATCATTTGATTTTCATTCTTCAAATGAAATTTTTGATCTGGAAAAGTACTCTCTTTTTAAGAAATAAATTATATGTAGTTACTGGATGTTGAGAATCAGGAAAAGATAATTATGGAGATTATCAATAATTATCACGGAATTATTGAGGTCCTATTTTTGTAACGTCCAACTTTAATGAATCTTCCCAGATTCATCAGTATTGTCTCGGAATTTGTGTGAATTATTTTAATATTTTAAATAATTGCTTAGATTTTAAACCCATATTCAAGATTTTACAAAAATATAACATCATTAAAGTTCTCTGCTTGGGAATATATCTCTAGTACCTATAAAAATAAATAAATTGTGCTGACCTGTCCCAAGAAACTGATTACCTTGTATTCCCCAATTCCTGTTATTTTAACAATGCCAGAGTTTACTATTCTCTGCCCAATAAGGTCCTACCTTCCTTTACTGTCCTGGAAGAAGTCCAAGGCAAATCCAAAATAACTTCCAGTAGGGCCAGAATACACAGTGGGGGCATCTGCATGCAAATTGAGGGTCCATCCTCTTTGGCAAAGGAATAGAAATCCCATCAGGAAGGCCCAGACCATAACAAGCAAATCCAAGGATCTGTGGCCTTTAAACATCTTCATATTCTTTCTTTCCAGGCACTATGCTGTTCATACTATAGCACTAATTCTATCATTCTCCTAATAACCACAACCATGACACATTTCCTAAACTGCTTCCTCCCCACAAAGCCATCATGAGCTAAAGATATCAATTTATCAGACATCCTGCAGACGTTTCACAGCAGGAACTGGGGAATATTAACAATAAAACATGAGAATGATGGAATGCTTGCTCTTGAAACAAGCTGAAGCAAACTCCTATTAGGCCCCAAGAACTGTTGCAAGGAAGCATCAATACCCCCCCTGACATTTTTTGGGTTAAATTTTCATACATTGAATGAGTTGGATGGGGACCTGTTAAAACAGATAATTGCTGAAGTATCCTGTGAAATTTTGGAATGGAGGGGAGGCAGGTTCAAGTCAGCCCTGAGTCCTAGTGACTGCCTGAACAAGTCCCTGCAATTGGGGGGGGGGGGCAAGGATTTTGCCATTGCCTCCTTCCCAGGCTGAGAAAATAACTGATTTAAGGTAACCCAGTTTTGTATCTTAGTGCTTAAGGAGAACTAGTTTCCGTTTCTAACCTGATGCCTCATCACTGTACCAAACCAGTTTTTATATACATGTTAATTTATCTTTTAACTGATAAATGAGCAGTGACAAGAATGTAGCCTTTTCTCAGGAAAAGCAGCTTTTTAATCAATAAAATAGGGGTGGGGGGAGATGTTAATATTCTGACCAGGAAACTCAGGTAATCTTAGATAAGGAAAAAGATGAAATTCTAATAATTCAAAATGAATTGTAATTGTAAGACTGACAAAGCTGTTTATTCCAGGAACTGATCCAGAGGAACTTGAGGCAGAGCCAGATGGTATCTGAAGAATGAAGATGAAGGAAAAATGGGTAACTTGGGATGATGGTGGTGGCTGAAGATAGAAGGATCCATCCTGCCAGCTTGAGGTTTGTGCCAGTGATGCTTAACCAAGCATATATAAATCAAACCCACTTTTTTACTGCTGCTTCTCAAGAGGGTTGCAGAAGAGTTGGGGAAGTCCAGCAGAGACAACTATTAGTGTTTTAGGTAACATCATTTTCATTGTGAAAGCCTCTTCTCTTGTTTCCATTCAAATAGAATTAAGAATCATTAGAAAGATTTTAGTATGCTTTGTGGGATAATTTCCTATGAATTTACAAAGCCCTTGTGACATATTTCCTAACTCTAATATATAGCAACTCTATGAGCAGGTTAAGTTTAGTGGATTTTTTTTCTGCTGAGACGTTACAAACTTGCCCTCCCTACAGCCACCTCCCCCACCCCCCAGATAGCAGATGTTGGGTTTCTGATAGATCCTTATGTAAGATGCTAAGAGGAAACAAGTGTCATCCTTATAAATAGAATACTTTTCTCCCCAAGTTTCCTATGATATGTAATTCATATCACAAATTATGAGAGATTCACTGAGGGCTACTTTTTAAAAAAATCATCAGCTAGCCTCTATTCATTTCCTTTCTAAAGAAAAGAGCATGGACTGTTATCAACCTTCAGGAAGTCTTGTTATCAACATTAGCACCAAGCATGTTTCATAATTATCCTTTCCTAGGAGATGAAATATTTTGGGAAATATTAAAGAGGCAGAATATTATGTTTCCCTGTATGAGAAATGGAGAAGCATGTTTTTAAAGACAAAGCAGCTCCCACCTTCCTGCCTCCACCCTTTTGTTAATGGGCCAGAGGCAGAAACTCTATCTTTGTCAATGGACCTTATCTGCAAGACAATGGGACCCATCTAGGACGAAACTCACCACATGGCACCTGGGAAGATTACATCAGCCAGCAAGGCTAGCTAAGACCCCCACCCCCTGGAAGTCTGACAACCAATCAGGATACTCTTTCTGGGCCCCAGGAAGTTCAAAGCCAGAGAGCATAAAACCCGGAGACTTGCTGTATCTGCCCTTTTCTGTTCAGAAACTCAAGCCATGTGATCCTGTCCACCATTAAACCATATTTCCAAGCAGTCTCCATGTTTCCAGTGTCTTTTCCCCACTTAGAGCAGAACCCAGAGGATATTTCTTCCTACATTATCATAATTATAAATTGTTTGTAGAATTTTTTGTTATTTTTATTCACTGGATTTATAAGATGCTCCAATCAAACTGGATGTAAAGGATGTAAAACAAAAGCGTATGTGTATGTATATGTATGTATGTATGTACTGTATTTCCTGAGACGAACACCACCAGCTTAGCCACTAAACAATTATTTATTGCCTTTCCTGCATACAATTATGTCAGGCACTGATCTCTTTCAAGCAATATTTTTACCAATTTACCAGGCTAGTAATACATATTTTTGAATAAAAGCTTAGATGTAGCTATTGAATTCCACACTTTTAAATAAACTACACTGCGGCAGATAAAATCGTGACTCTGTCATTTGGCACAAGACTTGCGTGCATGAGATCAGCCGTTGCATTAGGTCAAAACTCTCTAGTCATTACAAACTTTAAAAAAAAATATTTGATGTCTAACCTACAGAGATTCCAAATTACAAATCAAGTTAGGCAGAGGAAGGTTAACACCAAATAATGTCTTGTACTTTAGGGAAAGAATAGCTAGAATAGTAACAATAATGTGTCTTCAACAGAACATCACTAGAGTCCCAAGGCATATTTATTGACAAGAATACATATACCGTCCTGTATTTATTTTGCATTGCTGTTAAATTGCCATCTGATGAACTCATTTAATTCACTTCAACTGGGTTCTAGAAATGAGTTTATGATCAGCCTCAGGTTTCTGTTGAATATAAGAGGTATTTTAATTATCTGTATTATTTGTAATATTTAAAAATACTATATAAATACTGTTTTTCAAGTTACATTTTTAAAACAATGAAATCTTGTTAGTATTTGCTTATGATGCAATCTTATATAGTAAGAGTGTATCATATAGAAAGACTGCAAGTGGCATTAAATTTAAGAGTACATTACCTCAATTTGAAGAGCGCCAATTGAAATGACTACAAATAGCCTTTAGTCAAAAGCAAATGTGATGAAAATAATTGAAGTGTATTTTTAAATCAGATTTGCAATATATATTAAGCCTTTAATCAGTTAATAAAGTAAATAGAGTAATAAATCTGGCATTACTATGACAGCCTTTAGTAATAGAAATCAAACAGTCTAGGCTGTGTAGTTTTCAAACATAAGGTCTTTGCTGTACAACATAGGACATGAAAAGGACATCAAGAGTTCTGAGATAGGACTTTTAATTTGAACATCAGTTTTCAAAATCTGTATTAACTGACAAGAGTTATTTTAAACATACAAAATGATTCTCTCCCATCTGAAACTATGGCTCAATTAGGTTTGCAGGACAAAAAGAATTGTAAAATTGACTTTGTAGCCTTATCTGTAGGGAACGGTGGGAACTGTTCCTGCTTTGCATACATGTACGGGGCCTTGTTATCAACTTAGTGCAGTTACTCCAGTATGCATGGAGAAACCAGCATAGGCCTTATCAAAAAGCCATATATTGACTAGACGATTCCCTTTAAAAAGTATTATTAAAAATGAAATTCCTCTAGACTAATGTTTTCACTCTTGACAACCCACAATTCTTTTTCCTTTACACTAGCATTAGCCCAGGTTTCAGTGCTATAGTTATTTTATTCTTAATGCTGGTGATGGGCCTGAAATTTCTTAATAGGTTCAGGTTGACTGCTTGTTGATATTCATTGATCCATGTTTGACGACACAGGCCTATAAACATTCTACGCATGGAGTATTTTCTATAAATTAGTATAAAATCATAATCTCTTCTGGATAGTTATGAGTTCATTGTAGTAATAGCAGCTGGGGACATACACGTATTTTCTTGGGGCTTGTCAAATTCCACCTGCTTTTTAACATTAAAAAACACCAAAAATAGGAGGCTACTATGCTTCAAAGCGAATTAAAAGCACTTTTATTTCAAGAATAACACCCAAATGGAAGCTGTAACTTTTCTTGAAAAGTAAAAATGGCTGGTTACAGCTCAGTACTCTACCTAGAAATATGTCCTCATGCCAAAAACAATTGTTAAGTGGATTAAGAGGAGGTAACATATAGTATAGGTAACATATGGTAATGGAGGGAGTTGCCCTTCCTGACAGATGTTGGAGGTTGAATGACAATTGTAGCAGCTTCTCCACACTCTACAATTCCACTCTCTCCTCCTGAGTTAATTAATAGAGTATCTGAATTTTTCTGCAGGGGAACAGAGAGTCATTTTCTTCATTGCCTTAAGTTACTAATTCTTTGGGTAGACCTGAGTGTTTTCTCTAGACTGAAAGTGCAAGAGATGGTAAACAAAAGCCTTCTATTGTAATCTTTTTTCCAAGTTTCTCCATGCTTTTTTAAAAGTAATGTTTGAATAGTATATTGGAACATCAGTGTGAATGGTATTTTATACCCAAATATTTTTTATAAGTTGTATTTCACATGCTTCAAAGTATCAGAATGAACGTTATTGCACATGCAATATGCAGTTCACATATGGTTAGATAAACCATATGTAATGTATTGAGCCAGGTCTATAGGACTTCTTTCTGCTAAATCCTATTTAAAAAGTGGGTGTTACAATATGAGAACTAGCAACTTGATTCTGCTTCTTTGGAAACAAGAATATACACTTTCGCCCACGCAATGTTTATTATAAAGTTCATTTTCCTCATTTTTATAGCATGTATGTGATATATATATATATATATGTATGTATGTATGTATGTATGTATGTGTGTATGTATGTACACACACACACACACACTTACATGTGACAAAATTTAATATAGCCTGCTGATACTGAAATAAGAGTGTGTTCTTTGTTGGAATAGTTCTTGCAGAAGTCCAGTCTCCTCTTGTGCCCCATTGGAATGCTGGAGCTTGGGTCTTAATCTCAGGCAAATGGAGCACTCAATAATTACAGTAATACTGTTTTGCTACCTCAGTTTTCTAAGCAATTATCATAGATACTGAGTTCCTTGGTCAGTACAGCTTTTTCCAGTGCTATTTTTTTAACTAGCAAAGGAGAGGAAGCCCAGAGCCTGAAATATTCAGATAAGCAATTAACAATGGTTATATTGGAAGTTTTGGAGTGGAGGCCATTTTCCATGATCAACATTAGCAGTAGTTGGACAGTTATGTTATAAATAGCCATGGCTTCACAGAAAGCTCACTTTCTTTTCTTGCCTACTTCCCCCCTCCCCCCAGATGAAGAAATTAAGTAGAAGAATTAAATGTAACAAAATTATTATGTCTCTCTTAAGGCAGACATTCTCTCCATTAAAAGGGACAGCTGTGAAATCAGGTAACCTTTCACTTCCTTTTTTGGAAGAATCCGAATAAAAACACACCACTCAGAATCTTTCCAAAGCATATACAGTAAAGGCACACGTTTAAACAACAGCCTTAACATAAACACAAGTGTGCGTGCATAGATACACACACAAAAGCGCGCGCGCACACACACACACACACACACACACACACACCTCTATATAGAAATTTTGTTGCTGCAAAGACTTACGGTAGGTCCCCCCAAAAAATTATTAGACTTTTGAGATTTTTCTGTGGGATACACCTTTTCTTCTGATTTGAAAGTCATTTGGACTTCCTTTTTTACCCATTCAATGGGTTACTTCTCTCCAAATAGCAGCCTGGCTCCTGACAAGAAGATGCAGTCAAGACCAAAGTATCACACAGGCTCCACAGATGTTCCAAGATATGTCACTATAGTCACTGGAATTCATTAGCTATGGTACAAAAAGGTTCCTATCACTGCTCCTTACTTTATTCCAAATCTCGTCACATTTTCTCTAGTAGAAAATAATTCCTATTTTTTTATTTTCCATGGTACCCAAGAAAACAAAACTGAGTTTGAATAGACATGCTTGAAGTCTTCTTATGCCTTTGCCACAATGAGCTCTGAACCTTTGTTGCAAGCTTTCTTTCCAACTACATCAAAATGTATAGATAACTCAAACAACCTGAACAAGTACCACTCAGAGAGCAAGCTATAAAAATGTTATTGCAGTATACTATCATTATGGAACATTTGTCAGAAGAGCTACAAAAAGCAGCATTGACATGTACAGAGTTCAGTGCAATTTTTAAAAACCTTTTCTTTTCTGAAAAAAAATTATAAGTTAATAAGGAACCATCAAATATTACAGAGGACAGAATACAAGTCATATTCTGGATGTTCCCAGGATTCCAGTACAACATATTGCTTCAAAGACTGATAAAGAAATTATTTTCTGGTTCTATTTCCCCTTGGGGCAGTGGCACAGGGAAGATAGCAGGGCCAAGCTTGTTTGAGAAGAAAGCTTGCTGTTTGTAGTAATCAGCAGGTTGTTGAAAATGGTTCTTGGTTGGATAGAGAGAGGAAAAGAGGAATGGGTTGAATGTCGACTATCTCTTGACTCTTTTGCTTAAAGTTTTAAGCTTTAAAGTGAACTCAAATAAATAGCAAATAAAAGAAGGCAAATAATTTAGATATTATTCACTCAAAATTTCAGGATGGAAAAGAAATGATTTAAAAACACAAGCATCAGCAATTAAAAGGGACATATCAGCTGAAGAACTTCACATTCATATAGATGTGAGTAAGTCACCTCCCTGGGTGCAGAGGACCCTGAAAATACTGACAAGCATAACTCCAGCAACATTTTCCCCCTTTCCATGGATATGTTACATTCACTTCCCCTTTCCACACCCAGTTCTCCCATTTCACTATTCTCAGATGGTGTCAGTCATGGCCTTCAGACAGTCTGTACAAAACACCAATGCACACAGAGATATATGCCCCTACGTTCTCCCCAAGAGAGGCCACATCTTTCTCACTTCTTCATGTGCCGTGACTAGGAGGATGCTGCAAATCCTGCCCTGAGAAAATGGGATGCAGAAGGGGATGGAGATGTAATGCTGTGGCAGCAGCGGTTGCTGGTCGGGGAGCTAAGAGAGTTGGGTAGAGGGCATGAGGGACAGGATGAAAAGTGAAAGGACCCGGGTGGATGGCAGAAGCAGGGATGATATGGATGGGGTGGCTGGCCAGGAATGTAGCAGGGTGCCCTGGGATGATTGAATGAGTTAAGTGGGATAATGAGATAGGTGTCAAATGGGGCTGGGGAATGTGATGTACTTGAGCAAGAGGCTGGGGATGTGGGTGAGGGTGGATTCCTATGGCTGCAGCTGCTGCTGCTGCATGATGCTGCAGGATGGCATGCTGCACAGTTGTAATGGAGGTGGCTGCAGCTGCCGCAGGTTGTTGGATATGAATGGGCTGCAAGGCAGGGGCTGTGGCGGGAGCTAGGGCAGCTGAGGCTGGAAAGGTCTTGACCTGCTTGGCAAGAAACTGTTGCTGAATATGCTGCTGAGCTGCTTGCTGAAGCTTGCTATATTTCTCCATCTCTTCTGGCGTGAAAGTGATGGGCTGGCTCTCCAGAGGTGCCAAGGAAGAGTCTTCAGTGCCTTCAGGCTCCCCACTGATGCTGGGCTCCCCACTTTGTGCTACATAGCTAGGGAAATGCTCGACATCTGGAACTAAAGGTACCATCCTTCCTTCTATAGAGACAGATTGGTTTCCACTGTCAAGAGGCTCTAAAGCTTCATTTTCATCGGGATCAGGGAGGAAGTTGTGCGGCACAACCAGGTCACCAGATCCATACTGCTCTGGGAGTACTGGGGCCTCAAGAGGAACAGAAACTAGGTTTGTGGCTACTTCTGGGTTCTGATCAGCTGAAACATTGTCCTGTATTTCAGTCACCACGGTTTCCTCCACTTGAGGCTGACTTGCTGAAACAATGTCTCCACTCTCATGAGTTGTTTCATCCAGCTCTGATAGTTCCAATTCTTCTCCTCTTTCTAAACCAGATTCCTCACACTGCTTGGTGCTTGGTTTCCTAACTGCAGGAAGTTTTCCAATTAATGGAAGAACAGGCTTATTGCCTAATGAGGGAGGAAGCTTTGGGCCAAAGTAGCCTTGGGGTGGATCTTTCAGTTTAATTCCTACCTTGTGAGATCCTGAAATGGGATCATCATTGCTGCTAGATTTCTTCTCTACTTTTCTACACTGGATTTTTTCCAGAAGGAGTTTAGCTGTAGCAGAATTTTTCTCCTCAGAGTTACAGCTGTTCCCAAAGTTAGAGCTGCTGATCTTTTGAGAGAGACTGGAAGCTCCTGCAGCTTCTTCTCCTCTGGCTTCGTCCTTTCTTGCAAACCCTTCACTTTGTCTGACTTTGAAATAATGAGGAGATTGTGAGCGATATATCTTTGACCGGATGAAATCACGCCGGCCAGATCTTCTTTCCCCAGGGCTTTCATGACCACGGGATCCCTTCCGTGAGAGAGATCTTTGTGAAAGGCTTCTTGTGCTCCGACTACGTTCTCGGCTGTAACTTCTACTCCGTTTCCAGCTATGTCCTGTTCGGCTTCTGCTCCGCCGCTTACTTCGACTGTGGCTACAGCTACTGCTGCGTGTCCTTCCTCGACTTCTAGTCCTTGACCTCCCTCTGGTGTGAGTTCGACTTCTGCTCCTGCTCCGAGACCTGCTTCTGCTTAGGCTGTAGTCATCTTCTGAAGAGGAGTACTTGCGCCTCTTTGACCTGCGCTTGGAACTAGTATAATCTGAATCATCCTCTGAGTCATGGGAGTGCTTAGTATGACTTTGTGATCGGTCAGTGTAATCGCTATAGCTGTCTTCTGAGTAGCTATGGTGCCGACTGTACCGACTATTGTCAGTGGAAGCATATGAAGTTGATGAATAGGATCTCTGAGATGATCTTCTTGAGGAGTGCCTATGCCCTGACCGGGAGCGGCTTCGTGAACAGTCACTGCCAGAGTCATAATCATCACTATATTGTGATGCTGATTTCTGCCTGAAGTGCTTGTGGCAGGAGGAATCTCCATCACTCTCATAGCCACCACTACTCTGTTGTCCTCGATGACTGGGATAAACTGAAGTTGAGGCGGAAGGTCGCTTTTTGCTTGCAGACAAAGACTGCTGCAAGTCCCCCTTGGTTTTTTTGTTGCCATAATCTTGGGAAGAAGTACCACCATCCTCTTTCTTACTGCTTTCTTCAATAGAAAGAGACTTCCTCTGAGAGTCTTGTACACACCACTTCCTTTTTTTAGAATAGCCAGTATCCTCAGTCTTTTGCATCCGTTCAGCCTCAGTGGGAAAAGATGATTTGTTCTTTTTGTGCTTGTGCTTCTTCTGCTTCTTGGATTTATCTTCTGCTAAGTCCCCTTCTCTGCTTTTCTCCTCTGCCTCACATTTGCGCCTGTGTTTACGTTTGGTTGATTTTTTGTGCTTCTTCTTCTTTTTGTGTTTGTGAGACTTCCCCATTTTGTCTTTGCGACTAGTAAGATTGCCTCTACTGCTGTCTTCCAGATTTTCACTTTTGCCAGTTCTTATAGGGCTGATTTCCTGCTTGCCACACATTACAAAGGTCTTGCTTTCCGGCACTGCAGTTGAACTGCCAGCTACAATGTCCTTCTCTTTGCTTTTGCTTGCATCACTATCTCCGGTAGCCTGCACTTTTTCCTTTGAAAGGTTTGGTGTACCTTTCTGTTTTTCCGTTCCTTTCATTTTAGTGTCTTTGTTACGAGACCGCTTAAAGTCAAAATATAAGGGATTGCAGCTATATGACACAGAGGGTTCTGCTCTGGTGAAGATCAGCAGTTCTGAAGGCCACTGGAGGGTGGTGCTCTCATCTTTACTCAGAACAGGGAAGAACGGCCCTGTTAAATGTTTAGGCCCTTCTGCGGTTTCTTTACTAGTTCCTGGAGCCTGGGGAATCTCTTTAATGACATCTGAATCTAGAGAATTATTTCCTTTAAGTTGTTTTTCTTCTTGCTTGCCTGTTTCCCCCAAAATCTCCTTATCTTCCATTTTGTTGATTTGGTTTGCAGGACTCTGCTCCTTCTGAGGGATCACACATTCTGCTGCTGTTTCCTTCTCATCACTTTTTGCCACTTTGAGTTTGGGGGAATTGTTTTGTTTCCTTTCACGAGCTATTTTTTTGCTTGCGGCTTCTGCTTCTACTTGGTCCGTTGCCTTCATAAACAGCAAAAACTGAAAGTTGGGCTTCACTTTACAATGTGCAGGGGGAATATAGTGATAATATTCTGGTTCTACTGCCACTGGTCCATCATCTCGTTTCATTTTTTTTAGCTTTGATAATGTAGCATCTTTCTCCTGTGATTGCTCATCTTCTTCTCCCTTGCTGTCAGAGCTGTTTGTTCCCTCAATTTCTCCCATTTTTCCCACCAAAGTTCCAGAATCTGAATGGGCTCTTTCATCACTTTTAACTTCATCATCAGGAGAACTGGATTCATCCACATGGTCTTTGAATACTGAAGCAATTGATTCTAGCTTTACAGGGGCCTTTTTGGCAAATGAGAAAGACACACCTGTTTTGTTAATTCCCAGACCAACAGCTTGTGATATCTGGGCAGGAACTTGAGCAAGTCCAGGACTACTACTGATTTGTCCACTGCTGCAAGTTATACCCTTATCCATGGTCATGTTGCTAGCTTGCCCCGAAGTTGGTGAGGAGGAGGAGCAACTACCAAGAAATGTTGAATCCACATCATCCTCTCCTCCTTCTTCATCTACTGCCACAGTAGTGGTTCTAAACATCGGCCCACTTCCTGGAGCACTGGAAAACAGGGAAGGAGAAAAAGCAGACCGAAAAAGAGAATAGAATACATGATTATTACCATTTTCACCTTAGAGTTACACTCAAAACTTTATGCATATACAATCTTTTTATCTTTTATACAATTGCTCTGCAAGCAATGAATATATTCAGTAACCATTGTTTTGACATTTCTATTTCCTTACAGAATTTGTTTTAACAAATTACTCTTACAAGAACTATGGAAACATTACTTTGTTCTAAAGCAGTGGTTCTCAATCTTCCTAATGCCACGACCCTTTAATACAGTTCCTCATGTTGTGGTGACCCACAACCATAAAATTATTTCCTAAAACCATTGAAAATATGTGTTTTCCGATGGTCTTAGGCAACCCCCTGTGAATGGGTCATTCGACCCCCAAAGGGGTCGCGACCCACAGGTTGAGAACCACTGTTCTAAAGCATACCCTTGTGAGAAAGTGAATTAACTCACCATAAAATTTAAAATTAAATGTATACAATTCCAGCCTTCAAAATCAAGGGGAAAAAAACCCTCAAAATGACTGGGAACAAAGTACACACAATTTGGATACATACAAGAAACTTCATATGAATAGATGCCCCACTTGCTTTTGGCTTAGGTCTTTTTCCATATAAAATACCAGAACTGGCATTAATAATTTCATTAATAATCATTTCAGTTCATTTTTGTACTCATATCATACCTGTCATTTTTAAAAAAAATCATCATAGATAAGAGAGAGGATGGGCATTTCTGTATTGAGGAAATGGCAGATTAAAGTTCTGGTCTCCAAATATTTAAGCAGCCATAGCAGCACTTCATTCTGTCTGTAATCTAGTGTATGACTTGAAATAATTGCATATTTAGTTACAAGTCAGTCTAACTTGCATGTTAAAACAAAACTGCTTTTTTTTTTAACCAACACTGTGCAAATTCTGTCAGCTCAAATACCACATTGCAAGGAATATTGAGGACTAAAAAGGGGACCCTGCACCTGCAGAAATACGCTAGGAAGAAGACTGAGGACTAAGTAAAAAAACTGAAAGATATCAGGAACCATGGCAGGCAGCTTGAGTATTTTTAAGGAACAAAATGGCCAAAAGCTCTATTTAAACACACACAGCCCACTCCGACTCCAGCTTTAAATATTCTGCATCCTTGTAGTAGCTCATAATTCACCATTCAGTTTGCTTCCTCTGTTCAGCCAGCTCATGCAGACGGCGAAGGGCTTTCTCCTGCTTTCTCTCATCTTTCCGGGATCTTGAGGAAACATTGCGAGCAAATTCTCTTTGCTTGAGATCTTTTAATCTCTGTGCAAAATAGGAGAAGAAAATGATTATATAATTTATGGAGAGAAAAACAAACAATTCTTTAAAATACATCAGACAAAACTATAAGTGGATATAGTTTCAATGACCTCAGGAGAAAAACAGATTATAAAGCAAAATTCATACCTTATGAAAAAATGTTTGACTGATCACCCTAATTTCTAAACACTTTAATGATTTAGCCTTCACAATCTCCTGTTCAATGTCACATTATGATATATGTAAATGTATTACATATCAGTGCAAGCAGGAAACAGCAAAAGCACGCACAAAAAAAAAGCATTTATAAATGTAAAGATTCAGCATGCCTATATACTTTTTCTATGCAGCCTGCTGCAGTATGTTACTCTAGATGGTTTGTCCATAATTCACAACATTCCCAGCAAATTTGACCATGTTGGTCAGGGAAGGATGGAAATGAAGCCCAATTTGGAAAGTAATCAAATCTCAGAAATCAGATTCAATATGTAAGAACAAAAGCAAGAAAGAACAAGATTCATTTGAAAGAGGAATGTTGCTTTATTATGGTAAGCAGTAATTTTATATTCAAACTGTCTAAAGCTGGAAAAAAGAGGCTATTATTCTTGTAATATAATTAATAACAAACACATTTCTTAGGAATGTTATAAGAGACTTCTGGAAGGGTAATTTAGAGGTCACTTGAAAAGACAAAGCTGGGTGGGTATGTACACAATTCTAAAATTGTGCAATTGTTTTCTTAGGAATTATTATTTCTAAAATATTTAGGAGATGTATACAAAACTACATTTGTTTTGTAATAGGAATTCTGAAGAAACCTTGGCTCTTTCACTCTGAGAGCTATATGAAATATATGGACATTTTTGTTTGAAGGACAATATATAAATCAAATAAATGCATAAAATTTAATTAGAAAAAGCTGCAGAACTCTCTTATTTTAATTCTGTAATGTGTAAATGTGCCAAGTGGATAGTTTACTTTGCTCATTTTAACATAGACATATATATTGATGTAGGAAACTCAAATTTCATGAAAAGGATCAAGACAATACCCAAACTGGCAAATTATGCAGCAATAAAGCCCTTGGTGAGCCCCACAGCATAGTTCTGCTATTAAAGAAAATTATACCTCAGTTTTAATGATGGGTCATGAGAATGTCTTTTGTGTAGTACTTTAACAAATGGGGAATGAAGAGCACTGTGCGTTGTGCACATCTGGGAGGTTTGGCATGATTATATGGTTGTACTTTATACTGGATATCATGAAATGGCTTTAAAGGAGCTTGTTTTATGTTTCAAGTGGTAAGCTTAGATTGTCTTTAGTTACTGAAATCCTTTTCTGTGCACTGAAGAGGACAGCTACTGTTACTAAGACTGTGAGCATTCTTAATTCTAAGCCCTCCATTTTGCACAGAAGCAACACAATTCCAGATGAAATTCCAGTTTCATCAACTAGTATTCATTCTGTCCAAGGTTCCTCTAAAAGAAGAACATATATTGGTAAACATTGCCTCTTGACTCTCTGGACTACTAAGTGATACTGCTACTACTACTACTTTTATCCTCAATTTAAGGTCTCCATATATTGAATTTTACCCCCACCAATTTTCACACTTAGATATAAGTAACCGAGTGTGGCTGAAGGTTCACATATAGCCACCCAACTAACCTCAATTAAACTTGTCACCATGGATTTATCTGTGCAGAATAAGGAAAACCATCACTTTTTACTTTCCTGCATGGAACAAAGAGTTTTATATACAATGGGCTTTCTCCACTAGGTAGGATATGTGCTTGGTGACTTCAGGGAAAACAAATCCTGCAGGTTTTATCTATGCTTTAGTCTTCAACTGCAAGAGTGAAAGAGTTGGACTAAATCAAATAGAACTCATGTCACTATTGATTCCATAGAAGCACATGTATAAGTATTTCTTCCAGTATTAGTGTGAAAATATACAATTGGAACACTATCTTATAGTGCTTCTCTGTTTTAGGCATAATCTATCCTTCTTCAAAAGAGAATAAGAACAGATAAAATAATAATGCTGGAAATGATAAAGATTTATTGAAAGACAGATGAGTTATCAGACTGATAGGCTGACTTAGCCCTAGTAGTTCCCCGTCCCTAATGATTAGAAAAAAACTCAGTTTTGGTCATGACCCATTTCAATGATGTACAACTTGATTGGGACCCAGGGCCACATTTAGCTTTTGAGTGGTATACTAGAGAATGCATTTCAAAAGTAATTGGTGAATCCAAACAAACACTATATTTAGTGTAATGTACATTTAAATATGATTAAAATGCAGTTAAAATTATTACTTAGTGATCAGGTATTTAATAATTTCTCATTCCTGTCCTATTACACATTATTATTGTGTAAAAGACCACAACCATGTCATTCAATGCACTATAAGTATCATAGTTGCCTTAGTGCAGGGTGTCAAACTTGCAGTCCATGGGCTGGATGCATCATGTGCTGGCCACACCCACCCACATTTTAGCAAAGGGAGAAAAAGTCGTGATATATCATGTGTTGACAACATGACGGCAAATGTGATGATGTAAGTTTGACATCCTGCATTAGTGTATTCCTCTACTTCATAGTAACTAATGGTAAAATGCCAGAATTTCTTTTGCTGTGTCAGATAACATTAGAATTATCTATTCACATCTACTTTATACTTACAGAAGATTGACAATTAAAAAAAAGAATGTGAAATCATTCCAAAATAAGAGGGTATTCTTTTATCTATGTACATATCTTTAATTATGCATTTTGTTTATATTGACTAATATGAATCAAAATTATAAGTAGCCATAAGTATGAAGAGAATTGGGGTGAAATCTGCTATATAGTCATATGTGATAGTTATAGGACTATCATATTTCAGTTGAAAACAACAACCATTACCCAATAGTTAAGAGACACGGACAAAACAGTCACTCCTTGTTAGCAGCTAAGGAATGTTTTAGTGGTAATTGCATTATGAGATCCTCAACTAGAAATTCTTACCAGCAAATTTTATTAAGCTTTGATGACATAATACAAATTCAAATTATGCACTCTACACTTATGTTTAGAACAACACCTGCGAAATGGATTTTTTTAAAGTAGCATTCCAGCTTTAGTCTGGTCCTTTCTTTGCTACTTGGCTTCTCTTCAACATAAGCCTGACATTTCTATAGTTTGCACTGTGTGTTTAACAAAGTCACCTATGAAATGCATAAAAACCCAATTAGTTTCTAAAAAACAAAGCTTGTCTTCTAATTATATTGTGGGTTTTTTTTGTTTTTTTTGTTTTTGCTAGCTGTCAAGGTCCATCTGTTGGCCAAAAATTCAGGGTATAAATAGAACAAATCAAGCTGCTTTTCTTTTAGGAAAGAGATTGAGGTAAACAGAGGTCAGGAAGCAGACTTCCAGAAGAAATTGACCAGCGTACATTTTTGTAAAAAGAAAAAAAGGAAAACAAAGCAAAGCAAAAAACAGTTGAAGAAAAACGAATGACTCCATAACAGATATGAATCTGTGAGAATTACTTTTAAACCTTTCTAGAATTTTAGCCAAAGTTGCAGCATTTATTCTTCCACCAGAACAAAGCTATGCTTCTGTAGTTGCCAATCTTTCCATTTTTTTCAGCTATAAAAGTCACAGTAACAAAAAGGAAATAATTATTCCATGAATATCTTCAATAGGGTAACAAAATTTTGATATTTTAAAACAGGAATAGGCAGTTTTTGGAGACTGCTGGAACATCTGGAATTTTGATAGCACATTGGGTGCTTTCCCACAAAATAGCAATCATGAGAACTTGTGCATACCCCAAAATAATTATAACAGTCAACCACAAAATATATATTTATGTATCAGAAAGAAAACTGGAACTTTCAGGAAGTTAGTAAAAAGAGAATTAAAAGGAAACTAGTAGGAAAGTTCAGCAAAGGAAGCCCCTATCAAAAATTCCATCTAAGTAAAAAGTACACAATTTGCTTACCTGAGAGCCAAGAAAAGAACAACAATAAATACTTTCCCACTGGCAATACCTTAAGAACATGAGTCTGTGATCTTGACCTGCTGCAATACATTGTATTCTTGCCAGAAAACAAACTTGCTTGCTTGCAAGAATTGTATATCAAATTGCAAGAATTATATATCAAGAGTTGCAAGAATTATATATCAAACAAGCAAGGTTCTACAACAGGAGTCATAGAGGAAATAACTTACTGTAAGGAAACGAATCAGAGAGCTAGTTTGATGTAGTGGTTAAGGTGCTGGCCTAGAGACTGTGAATTCCAGTCCATCCATAAGTAGGAAAGCCAGCTGGTGACTTTGAGCCAATCATTCTCTCTCTCTGCCAAACCCATTTCACAGGGTTTGTTTTTGTGCGGAAAATAGGAGGAGGAAAGACTATTATATATTTGCTGCCTCGAATTACTTATGAGTAATAAAGGTTGGATAAAATCTAAAGTAAAAATCTAATACATGCATACACACATACATTACAAGTAGTGGATGAAAATGTTAAGCATAACCAAAGATACAGAAGATATTTTATGCTACTGGAACTCAGAAATGCCTGAACCCCTACCAGAAAAAAAATAGCTGTAATCTTTTGAGGAAAATAAAAACACATTGCAATGTGAGATACAGAATAATAGATCCCTGAAGGGTACAACAGTTACAGCTGCTGATTCACTACTACAAAAAGAAGAGCGCACTGACTCATTTACATTGGTTTAAAGCGGGGGCTCCCTGGGAATCCCAAATGTTTCACAGCTGCAAAGTGCTGTGAACAGAACAGCTGGTGAGGTCTTAGGACCATAGGAGGATCAGAAAGACTTAACATAGTGCCTGTGAAGGATGGATGGACATTGTTTTTCTGTGATTGTTTAGTGTGATTAGATGTAGTGCTATAGGGTTGGGAGATATGGATGGATGTGCCTGGGACAGGAGAACTTGGGCAAACTGTGAGGAGATACAATTAATCCTTGAATTACAAGCA